AATTCACGTGCAACCAAGAAACTATTTGACAGCATCGTCACTGACCCCTTTTGACAATTCCACTGGATCTGGAATTTCGTCCTGTTGGGCAATTGTGTTGGAGGAAGGAGAATGTGCAGGGCATCTCGTATACCTGTTTTTAGTAGTAAGGTCACCGGCCCAAATGCAGAGTCGTTTAATAAGGGACAGAGTTTATGATAGTCTTGCTGGGATAAAATTCCGCACCTATTCCTCCTTGATATTTTATTCACACTTCCCTAATGTCCAGGAATATCTACCTATCTGGATTCTATCTAGTTAGCAGAGAGGCAAAAGACGTGTAGCATGCTGACCCCACTGACATCTTCAAACAAGTACCGTAGACAATTCCTTAACGAGCTTCTCTAAATGGTTCAAAGCCACAGCAAGTGCCACTTCAATTGTTAAAAAAATTTCTACAAAACACAAGACTAGAGTAACTGTGAAGTTAGACGGAATTTTTATCCTTCTGCAGGGGTCATCAAACATTCACCCATTCCCCTGACATCTCGAGGCTCCCCTGAAGACGAAAGAAGACATAATACTAGGGCAGAATTTGTTATTGGCATGCAGAAGGGCTGGGGACTGCCATCATGGTACAGAGGCCATGCCGCCGGGCGGAGGTACAATGGCCGTGCCCGCGTAAGCAAAACAAATGGTTAAATAAACAACTATATTACTACAATCGGTCTTTTTTGTGAGCCCTACGTTTTACCTTGGCGTGGATGATTCACAAATCCGCCCCCACTCTGACGGGAAGACATACGATTCGTTGAAGTGTTGAAGGAATGTGCTTAAGAGCCTCAAAAGTTCTAGCAAATACAATTGAGGTTAATAAATGCATACACAGTGGCTCACTGGCTACCTAATAAAGCTCAGGTTTTAATGACATTAAGGCGCGTCTGATTAGAGCCCACACCGTGTTGTAGTTTTCCATTTTATACAATACACATTTCTCCTTGATGGCAAGCAACCGAAATCGAAGAAATTAGTCTCTTCCAACTGCTCTAGATAGTAGATGTTTCAGTACCCTTTGTCCCCATTTCAAATGTGTACAGGGAAAAAGGCGTATTTGCTCTTTAAACCTTTGGGAGCTAAATCTCTAGTAAAAATCTCCTGATTCGTTCGATTTTCATCTGACGCAGCTAGCTTGTCTCCAGTCATTAAGCTGAGCCAAACATTTCGCCATCGAAAAAGGTCTGAGTCCTGGGTAAGTGGTCGATTTAGGCTTTCTTGACGAGACGAGAAGGACGGTGAGGTGAGGCTGAAAAAGGAGATATTTGCTCCCAGAGGATCGGAAGAAATAGAGGGTGAGACGGAGAGCTTGCTACTGTGAAACAACCAGGAAGAGACTAACAGTTTGATCAAAACTACGCTCTAATCAGCTTGCAGGTGGTTGGTGTACCTCTTGATTTAAAGAAAAGGATGAAAAAGACAGCCAGTCATTTGCCCTACCAGTTTAGGATGACATATACTGTTTGGAAGTGTCAATCACAATCGGGAGCGAAATGGTCAGAATTAACAGGCACTTTCGGTTGTGGAAGAGACAAGAAGACATTTCAAAGGAACAGAAATTGAATTGGCTTTTCTACATAGTCTCCTACTGACAAAGTTGTACGGTTATCTTAGTATTTAACAAGTTCCTGATTAGTTGATTCTGCACGGAATTGATCACACTCCTAGGTAGGCCTAATTTGCCGTCATTGATACCGACACTGCATGCTTCTACTGCTTTGATGTCCATTTTGATGCTGTACCCGGGTTTTGCTACATGTAATGATGCGATCCAGAAACTTATGGCCTTTCTTCTTAGAATGCAAGAGCAGAAAGAGCGGTCGAATTCTTGGAGTTACAAATGTTCATGAATGCTGATGGTTGTTGCGTCCGCAGAACAGGTACGCACTAATGAAATTTTACTACTGGGTGAATGTTTGCAGATTTGATTTCTGTGGGCCTAGAACAGCCACTGCCTGAATTTTAACTGCCCTTATAAGTTGGTATCATCCAAATGTCTATTGTATTCGGGAATTGTACTGTGCATTTGTGTTGACTGCTACCTTCAAGTGTAGATTTTACGTCTTTGTTTGGCACCATTCGATGTTGTCCGCACACACTACCACTGATTCCTGCCATGGTAATAAATAGGCCCTAAAGTGGACCGATCCAAGTGCAACACATATGCTGACCAGTACTAGTAGTAAAAGACTGCACTTAGCACTTACCACTGCCTATTGCACCTGTACTTAATTTGACACCCGTAGGATAGTAAAGTCCCACCATGATTTGAACTTATTCCTAGCTTAAAGAATCAAAATGCACAGCTGGTTTAAGAACTTTACCATTGTTTTGAGGTGAAACCTGACATTATGCAAACGCCATGATTAAAGGCGTGGCCTCAATAATTTGTGATGCCGAAGAAAATTCCTCATGACAATTTTCTAGCAAATTTCAATTGCTTCAAAGAGACGGCGACGCTGATTTCAGATTTTCCTTTATCTTCCTGCTCTGCGCAGCAAAACGTGTTCATTCAATCGCCTATGGAATATTACTAACCCAAATCGCTCTAGCGATATTAATTAAATCATAGATGATTGATACTGTTTTGACATTTTATGAGAATTTGCTCAGTCATTTTTTCTTGCTGCTCAAAAGTTACCTAGTAATAATCAACTTGTTATACTGGACACTAATGCTAATCATAAATCATAAAATTAACAACAACAAATCGAACAAATTTACTCTTTACTATGAAACAATCCATTTCTTGGTTTTTGGGGATCAGCAATTGATGTCTCCAAAGGATTTACTTTTGCTCTGGCTATTTTTAAGGTGCATCACCTCGTTTAAAACCCCCATTTTGGCCTCCAATTGACATCTGAAATCACCAAATTTTAAACAACTCTTTTGAGAACATAGACAAGGCAAAAGTTATGATGGGCATTTTGTCATGGGTTAGGGCGTAACTAGCCAGAGAACACATGACATGCCGAGCTGACTTGAGAGACTCTGCTCTAGCACGCAGTTTTAACTTTTGATGCTAGGGTAGGCGAATATAAGTTCAAAGCTTCAGACAAAGCACTTAGCACTTCTCAGGGTGCGATTGAAATGGCGGTAAGAAGCAAGCAATGTTGCCTTCCAGAAACCTCCTCTCTTTTGAAGCAGATCAGTCAGAGAAAGAGGATAAACACGTGAACAGTGGGTAAACAACGTTTAGCTTTATTGTTTCTTGGTTGGAATATAAAAAAAATAATATTTAACTCGTATTTGGTAATCCAAATAATAACTGCCACTCGCAACAAAGAGATCATTTGATGCATAGTTAACCCCTACAGAATGGTAAGGGACAATAGCGAGTACGTTTTAGAAGTATCTTGGGGAATTCGGTGTCTCAACTCCACCGCAAGAGTAAATGAGGCCTAAAAACATTGACACACACTGCTCACTTTACCGCTATCTGACCTTTACATTGTTTTAAACTAGAGTTAGAAAGAATTAAATAAATGCATTAACATTTAATAGATTTATGAGAAAGAGTTTTCACCCGAGCCCTAAATAAACGTCTTCGATTGGTTGCGCTAAATATTTAAGCAATTACAAATCTCCTCTCTGCTCATATTCATCAATTGCCTATTATTATTCACTTTGCATGAATCGCCATTAAAATTGTTTTATTGCTGTTTTTTGAATAAGGATGAGGATTGGTGGCGGTAGCTATTCATGAGATGATTAACCATCAGCTCAAGCTCACTTTGTCCTCTGAAAACCGCAAAATTGTTGTATTTTATGGGAGGAGCCTAGATTTCTTCTCCTTCTTTACTCTTCGATGCATGTGACCTTCCCGCCGCCTTTCGTAACTAAGGCAATAGGCATGGCGCCGCAAAACTCAGTTCCTTTGATGTCTTATGTCATAGTAAAATAAGTTGATCAAAGCAACGATATTGACAAGCGTATTTTCATTTCTGCTTCATTATCGAAAAGCCCCTCTTGCAAATAGCGCCTACTTTAGTTGCGCCTTTTGTCGAAATTGGGGTTATATGCTAATGATACAAGATTTTTGCTGTTTTAATTTTGAGAAATGACCAACACGGTTAATGCGTTCCCTCCTTCCCCCTCGCCTTATTGGCTGCTTCCATTTACAACATGTCTCCGTCTGTCTAGCTGCGACTGTGCATTGTGCTGTCGTGTAGTACAGTGAATCACGTGATACGCTCTTCAGTCAAACAATGCTTCACTTTGCCTACCCACAAACGTAATCCACCGCCCTAAAATAAGTTGTGTTTACTGAGGACCTGTCATGAACGCATGTGCACAATAGAGGCAGCAGCAGCAGCAGCAGTAGCTTTGACCGATTAATAATGATGAATGTGTTGTCTAACTGTTAATGCATTCCTGTAGTTACCTGTCTACCTGTCTGTCGTCACTTTTTTTTCACTGACTTCTCCACTGTGGAACACATTTGTACTTTTTCTTTTAATAAACTCTCTACTGTATGGCAGTGGAGCGTTGGAATTGTAACTGATGTGACGGCTTCCGCATTGAGTGGTAGGGCGACAATTGTGATCACTTCTGAGTTGTCGAAACACACAAACTCCTCATTCTCCAAAAGTCTTGATTCCTTTAGTGTCAGTTCTGTTAGCAGACCGCTTCTGATGAGGTCACCAGACTCATACACCTCCAGAGAGGACGCGGGTGTCAAATGATAACGTATTAGTGCATGGAACTGATGAAAATAAATGCCACATAATCTTCTCTGTCAAACAGGTGGTGATTTGGGTAAAGCAACCAACTGCAAGCACTTTTATGGTAAAGAAGGGGGAAAGGGCTAGTTTTTTGCCGCAAGTTCTAACCACTCTTCGACGTGTTTTCGCCAGACATCATTACATTTATCCAGTCTCCAATATGTGACCCTTCTGTTTGAAAATTAAACTTTTTAACTCAATGAAACCCCTCCCATTAAGGCTTTACATCATCAAATTCGTCGTTTAAGAGGAGGATGAGGAGGAGGAGAGGAGGGAGGGGGAGGAGGCTATACAACCCAGGTCAAAGGTTACCGGACGAAAGAACAGACAACGAGGAGTGCTTCGATTGTCACCAAAGACTTGACAGTCCTTACCACTTTGCAGAATACGTTTCCATGATACCTTTCAGTCATTGGCCTATGACGAACACGCAGGAGAGTTTTTAAGTCCCAAATCAAGATGTTAGGGCTACAGTCAGAAGACGCATTGAGGATGGGAGGCAGAAGGAGGCAGAGAAGTATTTTAAAAAGGATTTACTGTATGGCACCTTCAAAGTAGGAACGATGGCAATACACACGATAATGTCATTAGTCTGTATAGATATACGATATAAAATTGGCGCATAGAGGAGTAAATGGCTGACACGCGCATGTGGTTGAGTATGTATATATATATGTATATGTGTATGGAAGCTTGTGGGTGTCAGTGGTTGAATGACCGGGGTAAACAGCCCTGTTAGGTGCGACAGAAAGAGGAGCAACACACGAGAGATGCGCAATCTACGAGGGAAGTGTAAGGGAGGGGAGAACAAATCTTGCTCTCGAGGAAGCATCTTACACAGTGGAAGGCGTAAAAACAAGCGCGTAAAAAATAGGGAACCCATCCACCCACTGGTTCATGTCTGCAGAAACACCATCTATGGCGCGAGGATAGGGAAAAAAGAGAAAGAAAGAAAGAAGAGGGCCGAACACAGTAATTCACGTACACATCTGGAAGAGAGAACTCTCCCGATAAAAGACGCATGTGGGTGTGTGCATGCTCCCTGAAACAATCTACGTCTGTACGCAAATATAAACATGAACGCCAGATCTCAAAGTGGCGCTCTCAGAGGGTAAAATGAAAGACACTGAGTAGGGGATGTAAGGAGGATATACACTCAAACGCACACTCCCACACAGGCAGGACTGGGGTGAGGCTGGCAGATCAGAGAACAAGTGGACGACAGCAGAGACGGTCCTGCTGGTAAAGTCCTAGACCTGAGATATGATGGGCGCGTGTACGCATGAGCGGGATCGTATTCTCACCAATGACAACATTGAAAACAGATGACGTGTGTATGAGTAGAAGAGGGGAAGGGGAATGAAAAGGAAGAAAAAAACACGACAGGAAGCAGCCTCGCATCTAGTGGCTTTTATCGGGATCTGGTTTGCCGGCACTTTGCTGTTGTTGTTGTTTTTGGAGTTGTGATAATCGATGCTGCTCATTGCCGAAGCGCTTGAGAACCCGTTTGACAGGGTGGATGTGGGGTGAGGAGGAGGGAGGCCGATTATCCATCTCGTCGTCGGGGAACTTCGGTTTCTGCTCGGTAAGAGAGGACATCCATGCACCGCTAGAATAATTGTTTTCTTCGCTCTTCCTCAATCCGCTATTACTACCACCGCCAGCAGCACCAACTCCACCCTCCTTGAGCGCAGAAAGACCGTGAAGTAGAAGTAGTCGTTGTTGAGTCTGAAAATCGGGCGATTTGAGGAGGGTCAATTCACTGGAGACTGGTCGGGAAGCGGAAGAGTCGGCATCCATTTCCGAGGGAGCGTGAAAACTGTTGGCGTTGCCTCCACTGGCGTCAGATGTGGCGACAGTAGGGTGGGGCGAGGGCAAACGCGGCAGCGGTTTGCGGTGGGGATGGTGATGGTGGTGGGCGGCCGAAGGAGCGGATGGGGCAGAGTCTACAAAGTCCATCCCGCTTCCTTCGCTGCCAGCACCACCACCACCAAGTCTTCGATCATTGGAGAGCCCCGGGGGGTTCTGCAATTGTGTCTGTTGGACGGCTGAATCCAGAAAGGCGCCCGCACATAGCGCTTTCATCTTCTGCAATTCCTCGATCAACTGACGGTTTTGATCTTGCAGTATGGCTACCTGACGCTCCAAACAGCGCACGTACTCCTTCTTCTTGCGACGGCATTCTCTCGCTGCCTCTCTGCAATATGAAAATAGGGAGTAGCAGCAGTAAAGCGACTTATTCATCGACTAAATGGGGATTCTAGTCTTGGTCAATTAGTGTATCCGGAAAAAGCTTTATAAACGCAGTAAAATGAGTGGAATGCACTTAAGGAAGCTTCACAGGATAATGTTCTAGTGCGAGATATAGGGGTTGCCTATCTACCAGAAAACTACCTAAAGAAACCTTGAAACATTGAACTAAACGGTAAGACTTTGACCATGATGTTAAAGGAATTTCAAAATTCAGGCAGATGAAAGTCAACGCACTTAGAGGGATAAAAACATGAATGGGATCAGAAGTATAGCGCCGCTTCTTTCGGATGTTAACGATTGGTTTTCATCAGTAGATACACAGTCAACCCATCAATCAAAAGAACCATCTACGGAAGCGTCGCAGATCTTGCAGTGCTTGACAGCAAAACTGCAATCACGAAGCCAAAGGGATTCCCAGATTTTGTCTGATGAGGTTCCAGCACACTCAAATGTGTTTAACGCGAATGTCAACACTGACTATACATCAATAGGCATGTAGTTGATTGAATAGAGAAGTATAGGTCAAATTTGGTAAAGACCTTTACAAGACAAGGCAAATTGGTATTTGAAGGATTGTTGACTAAAAAATAAGAGAATTTAAAAACACACCGAGCCTTTATCAGTCAATAATCGGGCGTGATTCACTTAACACGTTTACTACCAGTGTCACAAGTGTGTGTGACGCTTCAAGCTTCTTAGAATTGAGCTTAGCGTCACGAATCTGTGGCATGTGCTTCTTGATCATTTTGCAGCACCTGGTTGCGCGAATTCCCGTGATAAACGGACTAGTTAAGCTTAAAACGATAAATCAGGTGTACGACGTTCGTGGTCTGAAGACAATTACGTCTTTTTCAGTTCTTAAGAGAGCTCATTTTGTCAAAAAATTATCGATACTGGGTACCATATTGGACCGATACATCTGATTTGAGACTGGCAGCGGCTGAGTTAAAAAGGAAAGCAACTGTACACGGCAACGTACACAGTGCAGACCGCAGTCAAAAGATCGAAGGCACGGAGCCCAGAGCATGGCAATAATGGTGACAACAGTAGTAGCGCTCGCGGTAGTCGCAGCAAGACGCAAGAGGCGCAGCGATGTAACATTACATTGCGAACACGCTCTTAAACGCCGCGTTGTTGTTTTGTCCAAAAGCGTGCCATTCGTGCGGAGACGCGAGCCCGCTCGTCCGCACGACAGTAAATGTGCGCATGAGGGAGGGGAAGGGAGAAGGCGAACGCCCTCCGTGGGTTGGTCGCGTCAAGGTCGTAGGCAGAAGACCAGCCCGGAAGACCAATGGCTTGCGGGTGAAGCGAAGCGAGGCTAGGCAAACGTGTGTAAACCTGTCTGCACGCGCGTGCCTGACTGTATGCGACCCAGTGTGGCGATCGTAGTAAACAAGTTAACGATGACGAGACGGTGGAAGCCACACAGTGGCGTCTACGCTGCTTCACCGAAACACCGCAGACGCATTCGCGCATACACACAAACACATGTCGGATAGTGGAAGTACATGCTGTGCATAACACGTTATAAAACGCACCTTTCCTCCTCCTCCCCTCCACTCGCTGCCTTGTCCCAAAGTAAAACGCACACTTCTAATCCTGTTTATACTTCTAGAGGGGTTTTATTGGGTAGTGTGCTTAGGTGGATCTAGCTGGAATGCGATGATGACCATAGTTGGAGTGAGAGCGCTAAGTTGTCACAGTGCGTAGGCACTGGGAAAGTGGGTAGAAGGAGATGAAAAAAATGAGGCCACAGAAAGACACTGAAGCGTAATGACACGTAATCCCAAGTGTGTAGGGTTACATGAGCGATCAGTTTTGTGAGACTCAAGCGCTCACTTTGAAGTGCGTATTGGTGGTTTGAGAATAAACTCGGTCTCATCTTTTCGCTATTTGTGACAGATGCATCTAAGGCTCACTGGGCTCCGTGTTCTAACATAACATCAACACTTAGACAGAAAAACTGACTCATTCAACTGCTGCTCAAAAATTAAGAAAAGGTGTAATTGTCTTCAGATCAAGATCATTCGACATCTATTTTTGTTATAGCAAATGACAAAGAACACACGTCACCCAAATGTGATGGTGGTAACGAGAGTGTTTAGAAATATGGCGCTTTCTGAAGAACAGTTGGAATGAAGTGTGTATAGACGTTTAGACATTTGATGCAGATTAATTTCAATTCTTTACGTAATCACTTGGTTTTCCACCACTTTTTACATATATTCCAGAATAGACTTTCAGAAAAGATAGTAGATTTGAGACATGCTTCCCAATGATACGACCACGTCAATAAACTTGAAGTGCACCAAACGGCGCTGAGCAATCAGTCTGAAATAAAATAAACACTACGAATTGAAGGCGAATTTTTCTTGGATTTCAAGTAGAAGGTAGATCATTCTCATCTCACTTAAATGTGTACCAATTCCAACTATAGGTTAGCCACGCATTCATCTTTGTAATCGCCCACCAACGGTCGCCTTTGACATTTTACTAGAACCAACTATCAGCCAAAAAGCTGATCCGCTGCAAAAACAAGGGAGTAGGAGAGCGCTACAAGTGGCTGTGATGATTTCCTGTTCAATCATGAAAGTAGACAAAACAAAAGCGGTTCTACATAACAAGGCGGTATGGGCGACTGCCACAACAGCACTGCCGACGTGAAAGCTGGGATGAGGTAATAAAACCCACACAAAACAAATCAACACAACAGCAGTGCCTACGAAATACGATTGAACGAAAGAAATAGAGGAGTTGCAAATTACATAACACATTAGAGATCGGTAGACAATGGAAATGGGGAAGCTGAGACATGACCTATTGGACAGTGGAATTTTGACAGGTGACAAGGCAGGCCAGGCAGGTGTCGCAGCCAAATGATAGGGCCAACACAAGTGAAAATGTCTCCACGACTTTTCTGCTAAACTAACTGAGCAATCCTACTGTTTTATTACTCACTCATCAGAATACGTTTGGGTAAAAACGAAACTTCCAAAACATTTTTAAGATAAAAATGACTTCCTATGTTTTACTTACCACCTTCGATGGTCAATTGCTACGAAAAATAGCATTTTCAGGAGTAAAAATAAAGAAGCAATTGCCAGTTAATACATTATGCATGTGTCACGCGGGAAAGCTTCCTCGAAAGGAAAATTGTGACTGCTTTTCAATAAGAGCTAAGAGTTCCATGAACATTTTAATAATTAAATTCTAACAAAATCGTACTTTTTGATAAAAAATATACCGAAAAATCAGTGTCAAACACGGTGAATGCACCTTCTTGACAGAACAGAAGCCGGTTACACTCAAGGCCCCCAGTACAATAGGGATAAAGGTAGGTAAGCAAGAAATTTGGCAAAGGGCTTTAGCCACTTTTAAGTACAAACACAGCGGTTATGCAGATGTTGACATTCTCAGAGCTTTTGCACAAACACTTCCGTCATGTAATTTCGAGCTCCACATGAGCATTCCGACTGCCACCGAATAACCTCAAAGTTCAGACTAAGCTAAGGACAATGTGGCCAACGCGATTCTTAACATTTACGCCAGAGGATAAGGAAACGAGGGGTTGAATAGAATGACATTGGTCCCAGTTCCATATTTGACTACACATGCCTTTTCAGTCTTCCGCGATTCAACTCTAGGACTAATGCCATGCTAAACTCATGATATTTATAGCATAGGTCTCCTAGCTCTTCCCTACGCTTATACGACAGGCATTCAAACCGAACCAGGACTTCAAATTTCACAGCTATACAAAGGTACGTAACAGTGGCCGTGGAAGTGCCAAATGCATAAAATATCCTTTCACTAATAACGGGGGTGATCGTCCCAACACCATTCATCGACATGGCGGACATCAGCGCATGGAGCGTGCAGCAAAATATCTTGTGAAGGGATGCGTAAAACTCAAACACGCGAATACTCGTACCTACAAAAGAATTCAAACAGTATGGCAGAAGGATGCTCAACTACTCAGCAAAATGTGGTTTGGGTGGCATCACCGTTTTAAAAAAAGTTCGGACAGCTGTCAGTGATTATCACAGCCGCGGCAGTTCAGCTGCCATTCCTGTGAACACTTGTTCTGCGAATGGAACGCCCGGTTCTGGACGCCTGGTTTACGCACGGCCTGTAGTCATGGGATCGCACAAGAGATAAATCTTTCTGTAGAAATGGTGAACACGATCATTCATCATCATTTTCAATTTAGAAAAGTCAACGTGAACCCAGTAGCAAAACATTCTAGAAAGTTACAAAATAGTCCAGCCATACAGAAGCTGTTTCGCAAGCATTTGTTGAACTCTGAGATGATCGTATGAATGCAGTAGAAGAGAAACTTTCCAGAAGGACAGATGCAATCTCAACTCCTTAATGTTAGTTTCCTCCTAATGATGAACTTAAAAGCCGTAATTCGACTTGAACACCTCACTGAACAAAGCTACTTTCTGATCTGTACGCCCAGTAGATTCTTGAGAAATAACACGGCATACAACAAGAACACCGAAACAAGTTGACGTGAGTGACCAAGAAGGGATTTCGACGAGTGTTTAGGCTTGTCTTCACCTCGTTCTCAACCAAATGAGTACAGCGTGATGGCGACACGTGGCAAGTGTGTGATCAGAATGAAAGACCTATGACAAGCCGAAACGAGACCACAGTAGGTACAAAAAACGTGCCACCATCACCACCATCATCAAAAGCATCATTCGCGCATGTGCTGGAGGCATTAGAAAATATACACGCACGCAGGGTAAAATCCGCAGCGAATGTGCATGCAACTATCACATGCCAGGCGTCATGACCACAAGTGTCATCCCCGTAAAATGGGAGGGGTGCGCGGTTACATGACAAAAAGGCTGTTGCGGTGGTGACCCCTCAAAGTCCTGATCCAGAAAACACTACTATGCAACTACGAGCGATGGGTGCTCCACGTAAAACAGAGCAACTGCCACTCTTCCATAGACGAATGATTCAGTAATGCTAATACCATGTGTCACACCGAGCCACACCATGTCATTACACGTTGATTCTCTTTTTTTCATGAGGTGACAAGATGTAAAAGTACTTGATCTCCCAAAGCGCTGAATGTCTGAGAGTAACTAATTTTGAAGATACATTACCATTATTCGGAGATGATCTTTAGCTCGTAAGTCCTCTTTGATTTGTCGTACAAGAACCGTTTTGGAGGAATGATGGATTCAATTTACAAAAAAGAAAAGGTCAGATCGTCAGTGCAGCCACTGAATGCACCGTATACCGAAAAATTTGCAGATTTTGCTTGATATGGGGATCAGAATCACGACACTGAGATCTGAAATCAAGATAGGTGAGGATGGGGCAAAAGTAGCCACTAATAGGAGGGCCAGGTGGAAACAAAACCTGATCAGGTTGCCACCTCAATAACAAGGATGGAAGATGAGATCTGGCAAACCAACTGCAGAGAGTACAACCTCGAATTAGGCAGATGGGATTATATTAGTGACTTTGTAAGCAGTGCTGCTCAGGTCACGGGTGACAGAAGAATATCAATTGACAAAGATCTTTTTCAGGAATCAAAGGAATTTGGGGAGGATTTGGAAAAGCGTAGTTTCATAGTCCTCCATCTTTCAGACAAGACTTTCCGTGGTAGAGGTATATTTGAAACCGACCTGCAAGAATAGGGTGGGATATTTACAATACCCTAGTTAGGGGGAATTTGTGAAGGATCAAAGGTAATTATACTCCGACAGCAGTCTCATCCTCTCAGTAAGAAGGGGAGAACTGAGATATGGAGCAAACAGACAGCAGTATATTTCGTCATTGATAGGGAAACGGATCAGTTAAAAGTGGATGAATGAAATCATACCGATTGTCGATTAGACTGTGGTTCCAGGACCTACTTAACAAGGTGGATCTAAGATGGTCCTACGCAACTCCGCTTCTACTAATAGTGCTTAGAATGAACCTACGCATTATTACTTTCGGGTGGAATAACTTCCAGAAACGTATCAAGACTAGGCAGACACACTGAGGAAAACACTTGCTTGTCAATTATGGAAAGATAACTAAAAGTCATAGCGCACTAAATTGTCAAGGGGTCTCCCCCCGGGGTTACTTCAAACGGTATGCCACCGAGGTTGACAGCGTGATTGGTCTCACGATAACACGTGATCCTATGCTTGCTTGCCCACTAGTCTGCTTACTTACAAGATGGGATAAGCTGCGTGATGAGCTCTTCACAGAAAGACGAATTATGGGCCATGACAGAAAGCAAAAAGGGGGAATCTGGAAATGTCTCTCAAAGCGGCAATTAAAAATGAAATCAACTATTTTAGAGGGAGTAAAGTGCGCGTCTAGACGTGTAATTATCTTTTAAAAAGAGATAACTATGCAGGTTCAACAGTCGCATCCGTTACAGTAATTGTAAATGTAAGATCAGGTCTTCTACCCATCGAAACGAAACGTACTCGCATTTATTTGAGTTGTTAAAGAGGGAAGAGCGCCTCCTCCAGTAAGACAGAAATCAAATAGGAGTGAAAGCGAATGACGTAGTTAGGGAGAGGAATTTGACAAACTGACTCACCTGTTCTTCAGTAGTCGTTGTTCTCGCTTGTTGTTTGTGTCTTCGTGGAGAGTACCGGAAGCGGAGCGACCGGGCGTGCTATATCGACCAGTGTCGGTGCTTCCAGCGGCAGAAGGAATGGGGGGAGGCTGAGGTGGCGGAATCGCGCCAGCCACCGACCGAAACAGCGATGGGGGTGCTTGCACCTCACCACTACCAGCCCCTCCTCCACCACCGCCCTGTGGACCGCTTTGTTGTTGCTGCGATTGTTGAGAAAAACCGCCCCCTGAATTGGTGTTTATTGTCGAGAGGTATGCTGGTGACTGCGGCTGGTGGTATTGATTGCTTTGCATCTGAAAGGCGGGGGAAATTTGTTGAAAAAATAAGTTGATGCACCTTCATAATTTATTCACTTACAAACATTGACTGGGTAGTGCAAAATGCACGGGAAGAAGTACAGTCGTGTGCTACTTGCGGTAGATTATAAAGGCAATAAGTGATGGATGTAGCCTGAAAACTCGCATCATGTGATTGTGCCGAGAAGCTAGATGAGGATGATCAGCGATGCACACTAAGTTTTGTCTAAGGAACGCATCCAGATATACATTGTTAGACTACTTTACGTGTATTACTCTAAAACTGAGGCATTAGCGTAGCATGAATGAATAACCGCTAAAAGAAAACGCGAATCATAGCATTCGGTGGTTGTAGAAACGATCACAGTATAACAATAAAAGGAGTCACTTCTTCCCCCAAGGAACAAAATATATTAGTCACAACTTGACCTAAAAGAGAATTAAAGGAATGACAAAGTATACAGCAAAGCAGCGTTAATAAGGCAAAGGAGTAATAAACACACCCTAGTAGGGTACCACGATGAAGCATAAAATTGTATGAATTGAAGGATAGATAACCTCAAAGAGACTGCGATTAAAAATAAGGATCACCCAGGTGCCAATTGGCAGAAATTAGTCTGAGTAGATAGGCAGAGTACTGCATCACTCGAATATGAAAAGCACAATTATAAGGCACAGAGGATAACCAATAACGGGACAGTAAACAACATGCCTTCACCACACCGAGCTATTGGTAGAGTGGCGTAATTCAATAAAAGGCGACAATACTGCACCCAAAACTCTTCATTTGCCATAAAATACTAAAATAAGAACTGCACAAAAACCTACTTTTCAGACAAGAAAAGCAAGGGCAGGAGCAGAAACAGAGGAATGAAAGGAGGGAGGGCAATTTAGTGACAAAATACTGTCAATTAGAAGCAGATCAAAACGCCTTCAGTTCATAAAAAGGTGACCATTGCGCACTCCTACAGATTGGCGGAAAGATAAGGTAAGAATCCCATGGCAAGAGCTCACCTGTTGACCAAGAACATTGACAATGCTGGCGGGGAAAAGCATAGCATTGGTAAGGCAGGTGGAAGCCGAGATGTCTGGTGAGGCACCCGAGCTATTAGTGAAGGGGACGAAAGACGGAAGTGTACCCGAGCCAGCAGGTGGAAAACCTATGTCACCGGCGCCATTGCCTCCACCGTCCACCGTCTCGTAGGCGGTCGGTGGAGGTGGGCGGAAAAGGGCTCCAAGAGATGACTGAGTGTCCGAGCGGAAGTCGTTGGTACCGTGTTCGCCTTGATGGCCTGAGGATGAGGAACTGGGACACGTTGAGGGTGGGGAGGAGGCAGCCATGGCCATCACAAAAGCGGCTTGGATCTTAGAGCTGGTTGTCGGAGAGTGCTGACAGGGCAGTCGAGAGATGAGAGAGGCAGCAGCAGCAGCGGCAGCCGAGGAGGCGTTGTCACCGTCAGGTGGCGACGGACAGCGTTGTTTAATGGTGGAGGTAGAAAGAGGACTTACACTCGGCAGAGTCATCGATTTACGTGGATTTTGGCTGTCTGCAGTGGCTTTTAAGAATATGGCAGCAGGGCGGCAGGAGTTGAGGAGATCAAAAGATGAAATTGAGTTGTCGGGACATGTAACACAAGGCAAATGGGAATCCGGAGACTTGGTTTGTGACTTGATGGATTCTTCATTCTGTGCCATTGGATTACTTCTAGTGTAAAGCTAGATGAATGGAGCCAGTGAGTAAAAAACTGACATTCGTACAACACTGGGTGCAAACAGAAATGATAAAAAAACAGCTGGACTAGCACGACTCAATTGAAGGACGAAAAATAAAAGACTTCAAAGAAGTACTGATGGCAAAGCACAAAAACAACGGGTATTTTGGAATTTTGATGAAATTAATCACAAGAAAAAAATCGTCTTCGAAGTTACGTCAGCTCATATATTAGTACAAGTTTCAATGAAATAATTCTAAATTAACAATGCTGAAAATAGTCTTAATTGAAGGCATTGATACAAATGAATCAGAACAAATTAACGACATTAGTCACAATAAGTAGAAAAATCCGTACTATCACATAACATTAGTTTGCTCTTATCAATAAACCTGTAAATTGCAACCAAAAGTCCCGAAACATCAACGCGTACGCAGAAAAACCAAACCAATGTTCGTGACAATCGTGCAACAGTAGTGCCTTTTTGTTGAGATTATCTGGCGATATACCTGGAGCCTTTTAATCGACAAGAGGCATGACAATCCGAATTGCGAACTCTAAAGAAGACGCCCTCATTAAGGCACTGATGGACTTAAACTAATTAACATGTGGTAAAAGACATCTACTTAACGGAAAAGTGACAAACAATACCTACTTGTAAAAGTTTATCTACACATGTAAGGCTGAGGAAAATGAGGCTTAATTATGCATTATAAAGGTTACTAAGCGGAACAGGCACATTCCCAACTTAGCCATCTCCTTTTAATTCTGATTCGTAAAATTCCGAATTGGTGCATATTAATACCACTATTGTTTTCTTGGCTGGACTGTTTCGTACAAGCCTCTATTTAATCATTTTGAACAAAAAATTCGGGCTTACAAGATCTTACCTATCGGTTTGAACATTTGTTTCAACATATTGTACCAGTTTTGGCAAATTTATCGTCTGAGCACCTATACATCTTCAGCCAATACCATGATTTTCTCTGTGATCCTAGAATAGACATGCTTTTTAATTCTGATGTTAACTTCGTGCGTTTGGAGAAAAAAGGGATAAACATGTTTTAAATTACTTCAGCACATTGACACATTGTTCTTGGGAGTGGAATTAACAAATCATATTAAGGACTTCAATTACAGTGACCCAGTGTTTTTCTAACCCTGGACTTAACTGTGCGGACACCTCAGCGTCCGCAAGTTGTACCTCATTGGTCTCTAATCATGGCATTGGCACCTCAGCTCTCCCCTGCTTCTGGGTGCTTGAGGTCATCTGCACTTCAACTCTGGTGCGAATGTCAAGTTTTTACGATAGGAGCTGCATTTTATATAGGGAGAAATTTGGGCCTATTTCTGTAAAATACAAAGCGAAAGTCAGGACGCACTTTTTAGTTGCTCTATTCAGATTTGGGATACGAGGAAGGAAAAAGATGCATTTGTCGTGCTTTTTGAATAAAAAATTTTCGTTGTTATTGCGTTGAATACTTGCTAGTTGAAATTTTTCACTAAGTAAAACCAATGGGGGTTTTTTACAAGTTAGTTTTGCCCTATAGATAGTCACTCCTGGTCTCGTGCTTCCCCTTGGCAATTTAGCCTACTGAGCTACAATCACGTAGTGGAGGTATGCCGTTCTGATAAATGAGGTTCTTCATACACTTAGAGTACATTTCCTTCACTACCACTGTTAATCAGTAGTCGACATAACATTTGGTGTAGAAAGCGTTTTAGCTGAAAAGAAAAGGGTCATGAGTGACAGTTTGCACCCGCCACAAATGTGCAAATATCCTATGATGTGCGTAGTCATTTTTCGGATAGTAGTTTTAGTGCGCTTTAATTTAGCTTTATACCCTATCCGCCTTAAACTTTCTTTTACAAACAACCAAAAACACTGTCGTCTTAGGTTAATCGCATATGCTGGAGGAGTCGCCGCCAGTACCCATTGGCTACTTTTACTGGGGGTTATATGCACTACTCATTTCTTTACGACTTTCCTTCGTTATCCTCCAAAGTCCTGGCTACCTGCATCCTGATGAATTCTTTCAATCCATCGAAATAGCCACGTATGACATTTACCCAAACGCCTGCAGCCTTCGCACATGGGAATTTGAACCCGTGGGACATGGGCCGGTGCGATCGCGTTCTAGTATCTACCCTTTCGTTCATCTCCCCATCAAAGCAGTCGATTATTTGCTTCCATCTAAGGAAGTTTCTCAACTCTCCGGCGACGATATGGTCAAACGACTCCTTCTCCCACCACGCCTCATTACCACACTTTTTTCTTTCATTCCCGATGCTTTCATACTTTATCTCAGCAAAAAAATGGAGAAAAGGCGGCAAAACAAGGTTCCATTTGCGCTTCTCCTTTACTCCTCAATGGCCTATGGTGGTCTCTTGTGGAACACTCGCACACTGAGCAATGTCTGGGAGTCCGCCGCAGTATGCATATTCTGCTACCTTTCTTTTCAAACCACTCTCACCGCCTTCATCATTCAAGCGGCGATCTCGGCCTGGGCTGTCTTTCTGCGTCCCACATTCCCCATCTTCATACTTCCCTTTGCCGGACTGCAACTGGTCAGCATGCTTCGCTCCCCCCGCCGCCTCTTTAACGTCATCTTTTTTATCCCCCTTGGACTGTTTACCGCTTACGCTGCTGCAACCCTACTAGCCTTTCTTGACACGAAGTATTATTCAAAAGATAACTTAATAACTCATCCTGCCTTGATAGTGACACCAATTCGCTTCTTAAACTACAATTCTGCAGAGAAGACGCTTGGTGAACATGGTTTGCACCCATGGTACCACTACATTCTCATCCATTGGCCTCTTATGTTGACTCCCCCACTTGCATTAATCGCGTTGCTTCCTCCATCTCGAAGGGGCTTTAACGAATCTCTCAGATTTGCTGTGTGGTTTGCTACGATTCTCCCGACACTAGCTCTCTCGCTGATTGGTCACAAGGAGACCCGGTTCCTCTTCCCAAGCCTCCCATTTGCCGTCACTTTGGCTGCATTCCGTGTAAGGAGGCTCAAATTACTGCTGGTGTTTTGGGTCGCCTATCAAGCTATTATGGTGGCCTTCTGGGGGTTCGCGCACCAGGCTGGCCTGCTTAGCTTCGTGCGTTCCATTCCACCTATGGACGCGAATGAGGTATCATTGAATATCTTCTACAGGACCTACATGCCACCGCGGTTCGCTTTTGGTGAGCCCGCCTCACCCCACCTAACCGCGCCCTTGGAGTGTCGCAAACTCGCGCCTTTTGATGAAATGGGATGTACCAGGGTAATTGACTTCGCCGGTCGACCGGAGTCAGAGGTGATCGCGTTTTTGGACTGCTTGAAGATCTATACGCCGGTCAGTATGGTCGTGAGACTTGTAAGTCACCTCACATTGTGAATAAAAACGCCTGTAAACGGTTTACTAGTATCTAATCTCCCACGACTTTCGCTGTTGATAATTTAGACTTGTTGGCAAAACCAGATGTTGCTATGGTTAACTGATCCTTGATAATGTTTCACGCACACCGAGAAGGAACTAGTACTCTTTTACATGAAAAGACTTACGATTGCGGCAGTCGCGGCGTCATGTGTCACGAACTCCTTTTTACCCATCAGACTTTTAAGAAATTGCATTTTAGCTATAAATTTTATTTTGTAAAAAAGGTTAAAGTGCTATTTGTCAACTGGCTCAAGTACGACTTTGTTTGACACTTTAAAAACCCTGTTTTCGATACTTGGTAAAACTTCAAGGACCCAGGCAACCAGAAGCTCAAGTTGACTATAGCAGCGAGACCTCTTCCAAATAAATCTCTGGTAGAAACATATATGTACATTTATGCCATAATTTAGACATAAAATCTTCAATTCTAGATAGTCCCTGGGACAGTGTTACCCCCGCAAAAGTCACTCAGTGAATACGGCAAAATCCTTCGAGTAGGCAAATACTTCCCACATTTGTCCGTAGAAAATCTACCCTCCCTTAACATTTCCAGCTGTCCGACTAACGTGAATTTGTTGGACTGCCTTTTTATGTATTGGGAACAACTTAAAGCACAGCTGTCCCTCTATTCCTACGAAATCGCATTATCTTGAAGCTAAAAGAGAAGTTACTTCTATGATTTGTACACTTTTTTCTTACAAATACTTTGCTCGTGATTGGTAATCTTTCTATCATTCCAATGCTTAATGCGGTTTTCGAGAAGAGATGAGCTTAATTCAGTCTTGGAAAAGTGTTTTGACCAAATGTGAAGAAGATATGCTTAAAACGCAGCTATTAGGTATAACTTGGATTGACAAAAATATTACGTAAAAAGAGAAAATGGTTTACTGTGGGAGTTCGATCACCGGCTTATTATCGGTCGGCGGCTCGTCCTTGTCCTTTTTACTGACTGCGGTCTGGTCTTCCTCCTCCTTCTTCCCGTCGTTGCTTTCGTTAGAAGCGAATGGCGAAATTTTATTCTCAGGATGGGAGAGAATGATCCAGGGAAAACGCTCTGACTTTGTTGTATGCTTCGATCTGTAATGTAGTAAAAAGTACTAGTCTACATTATTCTTGCCTAGCTATTAAACAGTTAGGTACTTCTTTGCTCACCGTAGGACGATCTTTGGAATGAAAACACCACCTTCGTTCTCTACAATAGGTATTTCAACACCGAGATTTTGGCACACACGAGTGAGTACACGATCAATTTCGGCTCGTAGGCAGATGTCGGCCCGTGCATCAAACTTCGTGGGCTGAAGATTGACTATCACCACCCTGGTAGGACAGGATCCGGTCGAGGTGGAGGGTTTTGAATGGTGAGAAGGGGAGTCACTATCTGATAACTTTACTTGATCATCAGGATGCCTGCGTTTGCGTGAAGACGGGAGAGGGGCTGCACCTTGTTTTGAGGTGAAGGGAAGATCAGCTGCGGGGTGTATTTGAAGCGATGTTCCTATACAGAGCTGTAAGTTAGCTCTCCTGGAAGATGTAAGAAGGAAGGTTGACTGAAGGACATGTTTCTGATCTGATCCTGAGTACGATTATAAGGGTAATCTCAACGGCTAATTATTATGACAGTAATTGACTTACTTTTGAATATATAAAGGAGGTTAGATGAAGCTAGGTGTGTTAGCGTGTAAAAAATTTAAGATGGGTAAAGCACCGGTTAAGCATGCAGATAAGAAAACACACACACTCAAACCCATGAAGAGTAATTGAAGGCGCAATGCACCTTTCATCATAAATGTTAGGCCTGCTAATATCGGAAGTAACAAACGATGGTGCTGAAATTTTCAGTATGGAAGGGATATTAGCGCAAGAAGCTAAAATTCTAGAAGCGTGAGACATTTGGCTTCATATCCCGCACTAAGTCTGCTTTAGGCAGATCCGCCCATAACAAACAATTAGTTGAAGAGGTAAGACGACTTCCCCATTGTTATAAATCTTGTACAACAACGTAAAAATGGCGAAATGTTCACCCGTAATGAAGGCAAAATTCTACGTTCCGGAAAGGAGGATAGGGTTATGTAGCATACCTCAAAGGAGATATTAAAGTTAGTATTAGCAACACTAAAAGGATGAGGACAAAAAAGGCATCAGCTAAAAAATAGACAGAGAGCACACCTTGGTCTTTTCCGTCCACCACTAGCCGCTGTCGCAGCGGACTTGTCTCTCGCGGCATGGCGAGTCCATTTGAAGTGTTTGGAAAAGGATTGCGGAGGAGCTAGGTAAACTGAGCTGAGCATTTCATTTCCTTTGGGGAGTGAGGCACCTGAAGCGAGGTACCACTCTAAGAACTCGTCTATTTGAGAATTGGTAATGTGGGAATTCGTAGTTAGGAGGGTTTCAAAGGAGGCCAGAAAACTAAATGGAGTGAGCACGAAGAAGATTGTATGTTTGTGCATGCAAATCCAAATGGGTCAGGGAAATTGCTAATTCAAATAAATGCCAGCCCTTAATGACGTCTATTTCTATGAAGAGTCTGCTATCCTCGCATAAGTATGCGACTGCAGTAGCAGAGAACTATGCGGGAGAACAAATCCATTGCCAATTGCTTAGTTTGTTAGTTTCTTTAATGACTTGAACTCCCCCACCCACCTCGCAACTAGTATTATTCTTGCCTGATGATAATACCACCAACTGATTTGCTTCAACAAGCAACAGTGCCTTAACAACCCTAACTGTTAAGAGCCTAAGTCTAGAGGGGCTAGCATCCAAATGAGAATTAAGGCGACCATACAAACCTCGGATCAGCAGTCAAATGGGTGGGTGAGTTTTCGTGTTTGTTACGATGTACACAGTGCATTCGGGGAGCTCCCAAGGCTGTTGAACGGAAGGGAAGGAGAACTGAGGGGAAGATGTGAGGAGAGACGCCTAGGGAGAGGTGGAGTTGCGCGTTTCTACGGCGATGGGGGAGTAGGAGAAGGGAAAGAACATAAGTCACTGCAACGGTACAAAAACCCACACAAGGCAGTGCGTAAGTGAATGGTAAATGACTAAGATCCTACGATCTGAATCCGAAAAAGGAAAAGGACATCAGAGACGATATTGTACAGTTGCTTACTGCACACAATTTTGGATTTCACAGACCCGAGAGCCAGAGTTCAAAATGAAAAGGACACCAAAAAATCCCAGTAGTAGGCTTTTAGGGTAATGAAATATCAAACAATAAATGAACCGAAGACAGCAAAGACAACTTGTGCAGGGAAAAAGGGGACCAAAACAGATGTATATTTCGGACAAGATGTAGGCATACTGACCCGTTTTGTAATCCATGTGAAGCAGACTGGAACAAACCCACACAGTGTGTAAAATAAAACTAGAGTTATGCACTTAAGCGCAGACAAGAGCACCAAAATTAAGTTATGTAAAGGAAAGGTTATAAGTGCCTTCAGAAAATCTGGAACCAAATACAGACAAACGGCACTTCGATACGAGGAAGCAATAAGAACGGCCGGAGAGTAGGATGAAGCCAGAACTATTACATGCGCCTATCTAGAAACTCTAAAGTAAAAGTGGACGGCAATCAGTAAATTAATGCTAGAAAATTAGGATCTCATTTGCATTCTTCGATTACCCACAACACAAAATAAAGTAGAATGAAACCTGCCCATCGTTAAAGCACACGACCGTCGAAACAGAACAACGCCCAGGGACACCTACTTGCTCGTAAATTCGAGTCATTTATGCCGGAGTTTCAGGTGGGGTGCTTTAGACACCTTACCTAGTGGGAAACAACATTGATTGCCTTAGTGGTGACGCAAATTTAAGCGAGGATAGGAGTTAGTTTAACATTTAGTAAGCATTTATGTCTTTTTGTAATGAGAAATCATTTCAGAATAGGATATATTCAATACAGTTAAGACAATTTATCAATTGATTTAAGGTGATAGTTCAAAATGCCCGAAAACATTGTATCATAACATTTGGCACACATTGCCAATTAGTCCATTCATATATTTAAATTAAGATAATGTTTTGGGTTTCAGAAGGAATACATACTGCTCTTAAAGTAATTAAATACCATAATAATAAGTACTTGATAAACAGGTTGTGTGCCTCAATTTAAAAAAGTGGGAGAGAGGAGCTTAAAAATGCATTGCAGTGACAGTAGAGGGTGATGCCAAATAGGCCCAGAGAAAGATACCTGTTTCAAAGACATAAGGATGTTGAAACAAAGTACCGTACAAATACTCCAGCATTCATTCATGTTTTAACATGCACGCTACAAGCGTCACGGATATTTGGCGTGTACCCATCATCAGTTTATGATAACTTGTTCCGAATCGTGTACCACAAATAGGTTAGTAGTTTTAAACAGTAACGCTGCTCGGGAATGCTCCTCATCTGAGAACAAATACACGTCTTCGAGATCTTTTAAAGCAGCATAACACATCTTACGTGAGCCGCGTTAGTCCATTTGCGTCTGGGATTGATAGTAAACGTATTAAGGAAGCCTACTGGATAAGGTGCCACAGTGACTTCCTCATAGAAAGCAATTTTAGACATAAACGCTAGGACGACGATGCGATTTTGTCATCTGATCAGTTGATCTGACCTACTAACCTACTTATAAAGCGTAATTTGAACGGGCAGATAGATTCCGTACAAAAGGCAACTAGCATATTTTTACATTAAAAATCCTGCTCTAAATAAGAAAAGAAAAGAAATGGCTTGTAATGTTAATTCAATATTATGAAAAATACACTTGATTAGAAGGTGTATCAGTTTCGAGTGAATTAATAAAAAATCAGGTCATGCAACGAAATAAGAGCAGCGGATTGACTCACCGAGCCTCTTTAACAGCGATGGCGTAGTCGGGTTCTGGTAATTCATCCTCCCAGTCGAGAACAGAGTCCCTCAACTTCCCCCTAAACAAAGCAAAATTAAACCCAGGCAAGATGAGCCCACTCACCCACACGGCCGGACGCGCGTCTTCATTTTCGTGCATCTTGCCCCAGTCGGTTTAAGACCAAATGTTGGTACCATTTTCGTAGAGCGTATGTAAACAGCTCCACAAGAGCCACACTTCTCCATAAACACATCGCCATGGAGAATGGACAAACGGTTTCGTGGAAAACCCGAGCGAAGGTGCAAGCCGTCAATGTTCTGTGTAATCACAAAGTTTATGTATCCAGCTCTTTCCAGCGCCACAAGAGCCATGTGTCCAACAGAGGGTCGAGCCTCTGTGAACGGTTTGCTGAAAGCCGGTTTTTTACCCTGTTTTTCAAGGGTCCAGACACCTTAATGGGAAGAATGACCAGTGAGAAAAAATACCATTAGGTCCCCGAAAATCAGGGATTCCTGCGGCTGTGCTCAGGCCTGCTCCAGTGTGGACGACGGTGTATGAGGAGTGACGCAAAAGATCGGTCAGAACGGATACCTTTTGTTCGAAAATGTAGTCGGGATCGCGGACTTCGGGAATTCCACAAACACCCTTATTTTCGTACTCGGAGAGTGCCGACGCATAATCTAGTGACATTCCACTGGAATGTTTACCTTAAAACTAAGTTGAAAGGAAAAAACGTGCATCATTGGCGGTAAACTCTCGAATTGCAAAAATGGATGGCACTCTGGAACCGTGACAATAAAATGGGGAATCGGAATTTAAGAAGCAAAATACTACAAATGCTAACACAAAGAGTGGTGAATATAACAGTTTAAATGACGGTAGATAAATTACTACAGAACGCCCCACTACTATTCACGTGGAGGTAATATAAGCGTGATGACAAAGTGGAGTCAACACAAAAGTCAATTGCGTAAATTCCCCGAAATTTATGGAGTGTAGACACCACTATACCTAAATATGAGAAATGCCGCTAAAGATCAAAGATATTGTGGCAAAGAAAAGCTTAGGAACAAGCAAGAACAGGGCAAGATCGATCCGCGATAACGACCAATTAAATTGTAACAGAATGGTTAATCAGACCAAGTTTAACTGCATGATGCTGTCATAGAAGGTTTCTCAATTATATGGGCCCAGACGCTTGTTTTAAAAGTTTTATTTGCAAAATTGTAGAGAATAAAGCACTACAGGTAAATGCATTGCGATTAGAAGCAGCCTAAGTAAGGAAAGACAAATTCTGGTCAAGGAATTAAAGCCTAGGCCTCGGCAGTCGTTCGACCGATTATGCTTGAGGGCATCATGATAAATACTTTTTAAAGTCCGAAATCTTTTTCTCTAGACAATTCTTTAAACGACGTAGAAGGCTGTTAAAGATAAAATTTGTACTTATAACCAATCACAAACATAACCTGGTCTTAATACCCAATCCTTTACTAGTGTAAATACGACTCGTCTACTCATTCACATTTGGCGATCGCTTTCCTCAATTGCTGTGCCTCGTCTATTCGTTGGACTTTTATGGAGGATCCGTTATATGGGGAGCATTATGTGAAGACTTGGGGAAATGAATTCTTTACTTCCACTGTATTATTCAGCTATGGGCGGCTTTTATACATCGTCATCCTTTTTCTTTTTATCATCTGCCACTATGTACGTTTATGTAACAAATTCACGTGCAAAATGTGCCTATTTAAATACCTATTTTCTTGATTGTTTTCTGTCAGATCGTTGGGTAAATTGGCCAGCAGTAACTCTTTAGTGGGTGTTTTGTACTCCCATGTACTATTTGACTCGTTTCCTAGTTTTGACTCCTTTTGTGAGCACTGGATTTCAAGGGAGTATCGTTCATTTCCAAGCACTTTTTCCACCTTAAATATTTATCCCAACCATTCGTAACCCAGAACTCCGGGAATGTCGGTGACGAGCATCGCAATGGACTTGATTAAGAGCGTTAAACGCAGCACGTCACATCGTCTTGCACCTTACGACGATGACAAGGTTCGGCGTTGTATTGAAGAGATGCGACAACTGTATGAGAAGAATCGTCAGGATGTGCTAAGCCTTCGACTACCCTCCCAGAGCTCCAGCTCCGCGGATGATAGCGCCACCGTGAGGGATAGGGACAACATCGTGCAGACCGTCGTCATCCGACACGCTACGATGGAACGCGTAAAAAGATGCCTCCTGGCCTACCATCATGCTCGTCTCATGCAGATTAAGGAGATTCGTTGGCAGTACGGTGCCGGAATACCAAAAGGTAAACATATGTATTCCACCTAGTATCCGCATGTATTATTTTCAGCTAATTATAGCTACACAGACCCAATTTTGCGGTCGGCATAGGTACTACCAGGCGATCAAGTTGAACTCTCTAAGTATCTCTGTAAATCTAAGTCCATGTTTTCTGGTGGTATTTTCTGGTCATATCGTTCAAGGAGGTCCCTTGTTTGTGTAATACTTGTTCTGGTTGACCTTATTCTGCTTGTTTTTTGGTTCATTATAATCGAGTAGGTTTCTTTTTTGTGGTCATAGATGTCACATTAGATGGTCTGGTTTGTGCATCTAAACTTTTATTTACAAATATGGAACAGTGTTTTCTGTTTTACCACTATGCTTGTGCCATAAAAATCAGTTAAATTGGCCTCATGATACTGGTATGCTCAAAGCTACCTTGTGTAAACTAAAATATGCGTTTCGGCTCAATTTCGGTCCAATTTTGGTAACTACAACTACATAGTCCTTTACTTTTGTTGTCGGCATGGGTGACACAACGATCCAATCAGATATGCCTCTCGTACATTGATGACTTCTTCCACGAAAACAGTTAACACAATCATCCACGAATATTTTGGGGTTGTTACCGGATGTTGGGTACTATAACAGTCTTCAGCATTGACGACGATACCTCGGGATGGTTTTTTTGCTGATAAGTCCTTCACTGCTTAAGCTTTCTAGGTGTAATTTATTTACTGGGTTGTGTGTATAAACGTGGTAGAGATAGTACCAAAAATAAAAGCAGTTTGTATTCACTGAAGTTTTTTTAAATCCTTTTATAGACTTCGAAATTCCAGTTTGACTTGAACTCTCTTCGTATTAGCTAGCTCGGGATTTATAATGGTTCCGCACTAATAACATTTCTTCGAATTTTCCAGAAATTCGGCAAAACATGTCAAATCATGAGCTGAAGTGGTTCAGCAACTACTGCACCGCCCTGGCATCCTTCATGCGGGCGGACGCTGACGAAATGGGTGGTAGTGGGGGATTGGACCTCACTCAGTCTCTCAAACCGCCCAAATCTCTCTTGCTGGAGGTGCGCTGCCTCAAAGACTACGGCGAGTTCGAGACGGAGTGTGGGATTGTCATCAATCTCACCAAGGGCAGTCAGCATTTAATGTTCCGCAGTGACTGCGAGAATCTCATTCTGCAGGGGGTTTTGCAGCACATCATCGATTGACTGGCTCCGGTTTTGTACAATTTATTTTTTTTAAATACATTTTTTGTGATATTTTTGGTAATTAGGCATTATCAGGCGTTTGGCTAATGTTTAATGATTGGCACGGTACATGGGGTGAGTGGTCTCCATATTTCAATCGTACGATTGACATCCATTTGTCACTTTGAATTGCTTCTCACCTTAAAAACACAACTACAGCTGGAGGTAACTGGTCGGAAAGTGATGGGAATTACTAATATGGAGTGTCAAACTGCAAGACAGTTTTTATGAGACACCTTGGATGTACACAGAAATGCCTCTGCTTTCCTGTCAGCGTTCAACGTCCGTGGAATGCCTGGCACTCGTACTAGTACCTGAAGAGGCGCTTGTCGTGTGCAAAGATTTCTTACTTGAAAAGTTCGCTTGTTTGTCGCGGTTTACTTAAGGTAGATCTATTAATGGTTGACGGATTTACCAAAAAAATGATGTTTGAGCAAGGACGCTATTGGTATGATGCCTCAATGACGGTTTTAGAGTTATATTCTGCCAAAAAGGTGGTTGCACTTGCGTCATGTTCTCCCTTTATCAGTGACTTGCAATGCTTTAAGTAGTTTATCAAATTATGATCACATGGGTTCCCTTTTCCAAATTTTTAAAAGACTAGTACTACGTACGTTGGCAATGAGGCCACTCTGGTGCTCTGCTATTGCATCTTCGCCGAGTGAGCTGGTCTCCGGACCATACCAGTACCCACAAGATCTAATAACGTCGAATGTATATACTGTGCCCGAGTATTATATCTTTTTTCGTCTTAAAGGAAGTCTCAGAGCGCTACGCTGGTGGCAAAAGAAGGTGCAGTCGATCCGAAAGGACATCTATCTTGATTTCTATTAGGTGATGAACCCTAGCAGAGCGGAAGAAGCGCATGAGCCACGGACAGGAAAATTGGTAATAAACTCCAAAGGAAGGGCCAAAAATGACTTTTGCGCGCCGCCATTGTACCCTTGTCGAGTAAGCTGACTTCTAGGTCATGCCAATAGGTTCAAACCCTAATGTATGTCGACGATGCATAATCTACCTCTGCGTGCTGTCCACTTTCGTCTTCAGGGAAGTCTAATAGACTTTGACAACACACAAAGGACGCGACGCATTAAGCTCACCTGAAATTTCGAAGCCAAGTTTATATATATATCAATGATTTCGTTAAATGAATTAATGGAAAGGTGCAGCAGTAATAATTTTCGGTTTTTTTGCACCTGAATATTTGTGGCGCCGTCAACCAATCATAGGTATACAAATACACTTCCAGTGATGCTTTTCATCACATCCCTTATAGTTATTTCCAGGCGTACATTTCATATCGCTTTCTTCAAACCCTTGAACCTCCCTTAAATTATCAAAGCGGGTAACCTTAACTAACTCTGTAGCCCAATGAAATCATAGCCTTGGATAACAACGGCAGGTGTTATCGCTCGTCTTCTTACAAATTAAAAATGTGTAAATACTTTACTCCTTACGCACACCTTCTTTACAGACAATGCCATTAAGTCACATTGTTATAAAGTTGCGTTTATTCGACACGGTGAAAGTGAATTTAATCAAGAAAACAAGTTTGTCGGTTGGTTGGACTCGGATCTTTCATCCAGAGGAGAATGTGAAGCTCGACAAGCAGGTCAAATGATAAAACAAAGGTCATTAAGCTTTGATATTGCTTACACGAGTGTTCTTAAAAGGGCGATAAAGACCTGCCACGTTGTCCTAGAAGAACTTGACCTGTTGTGGATTCCTGTTTTAAAGTAAGTACAGAAATAAAAACTTAGCAAAATTAAAAGGGTGCAAACTTCGTTAAAGTTACTTGATACAGGTAAAACTCAACCACTGGGTTAAGTGTGATTCACTTTCTCAATGAGTTAGTTTGCGAAGATGTTTGCGATTGCCCTCATGAACCTCTCACCTTTATCTTAGTTAACATATTAAATACATTGAAAACTTACGCTTATTTTGCCTAGTTTGCTTATACTTTACACGCATTCATATTTCGTGGAGATGTGAAGTCACTTCGCTCTAATAAGCCTATGTACTTATCCGTGTTTACAAGTTTCTAAGCCTATGTGTTCACAGCTATTTTTGGCATAAGCGTCCCGCATTCTTTTTGTAGGTCTTGGCGTTTGAACGACCGTATGCATGGCGCTTTGCAAGGACTGACACAAAATGAGACCACAACTAGATATGGGGAATGTCAGCTACAATTGTGGACAAAGTCATATGATATTCCACCTCCCGCTCTCCTATCAACAGATCCACTATTGCCTGAATTTGATCCTCGTTATGCTGTAAGCAATACTACCGCATACGACAAATGACTGCCAAAAGAGTACTACTCGAAATAGGGTTTTGGTGGTTTTAATCAAAAGTCAACGAGTGATCATATTTATTGGGTCGTACTCTTCACTGGAAATATCAGTGTCTGTATTTAAGGCAGCTTGGAGGTGAAATTCATTGTGATGATATTTATGGGAAAAAGATGTCTTAATGTAATTTTTAGTCATTCTGAACCGGAACTATTGTTGTTCCCATGATTTTTCTTACCAAATATTTTTGTAGCTTCTAGATCATAATATCCTACCTAAAACAGAGTGTCTTAAAGACACCGTCAAACGAGTTCTTCCCTTTTGGCATGATGAAATTGTTCCTGCAATGAAAGTGAGTCACTTTGTTTTATTTCCGATTTACCTACTCTATGAGTGGTTAAAACTACTAAAAATGCATTTATTATAAGTCATCACAAATTTAAAGCACCAATGAGTGTTTTAAAAACCGGCTGGCTTTCGACTGACTAGCAGCATAAATGTTAGATTTTAACAATTTTGCGTTGAGCATCACAGTCAAAAATTCCTCATATTTTAGAAGGGGAAACGAGTTCTTATTGTAGCCCATGCGAACAGTATTCGGGCCTTACTCAAACATATAGATAACATTCCAGATGGAAAAGTCATGGACATAGAAATCCCTTCTGGTTGGTCCAAAAGAGTCTTACTAATTACCACTACTTCTTCTTTGCTATGAAATTATTCCAATTTGTTTGTGATTAACCGTTTTAAAGGCTTTGCCAAACTTGATTATTTGGGCGTGTAGATCACGATATTTTGGAAAATTGCCTTCCACTACTGCATTACACATCTTCAAACTGTTTTCCTACACGTTTTATAAGGCATAGTCAATCAGGTCTTGGAATTTCCTACCTTTAAGGACATGGTATGATTATTTAGATAAATTAGTAGTAGAGAATTTCCGGTAGGAGGTGAATTAATTTCAGCTTTCTCACAATGCGAATTTCCAGAGCTAGGAGAGTAAATGCTTCTTTATAAAATTTAATTATTAACCAGTTAAACAGTTGTCGTGCAAACTAACTTGTCAGGGAAACATTCATTTTCTTCTTTTCGACATCCAAATGCATCCTTGTCTTTCAGGCATTGACCAATTTACTTTTTTGCTGTTATGTGAATAAGAGAAAAGTAGTTCCGATATGCATGGAACAGACCATTAATTGCTGAAATTAATAAATGGAACGTATTAAAGGGTGCATTCGGAACATTTATTATTGTAGCATAGATTCTACAGCTAATTTATTTCACTGCATCTAATAGTGTGTCCTATTGACCTGAATCTCAGTTTAAAGGCATCAACGCTTTACCCCTTGACATATTAGCGCTGTATTTGCTACTGTGTATTTTCTTTTGTAGGTATCCCACTGATCTATGAACTGAATGCAGATTTGATGCCAGTTCGGCATTATTATTTAGCAGATGACTCAAAGGTGGCAGCAGCCATCAGCAGAGAAGGTGACCAAATGAGGGTTATGTGAGCCCCCGACGAACTACTGCACTCTTTACAAAAATGTACTCCAACTGAAAATGCGATCTAGCCCAAGGCTCTTCGGGTTTAATCCTTTCGGCTTTTCATTAGGTTCTGTAGAAGACCACTGTCTAGTTCAAAATGGACATGCAAGTGGTGAGATTGAGGTGGTGGCTCGGTGAGACAACAAAACTAGTTTGGGCATTTGTCCTCGTAAGCATAGTAAGTGTATAAATCATAGAAATAAATTACAAAAGCTTCATTTTAAGGACGGGGTATGAAATGCTGAAGGGAGTGCGGGAATGTGAGACCATGCACTACGAAAGGCTTCGGTAGAGGTCGGTATCACCTATGTTGGTGTTGCTCCAGCACTTCCGTCAAATCATGACCGATGGCAAGCATTTAAGGAATAGAGAAGACCTCTTAGTTACCAAAGGAAAGGTAAGTGGGAATCACCTGTCACAATTAGATCAAGTAAACACCAATAGCTAATAACACAAAATTAAGGTGAACTAGTCTTTAGAAGAAAGAATTTTGAGGGGGCTGCTTGGGAATTGTTAGCCTATCGTGGTAATGTACGATCCAGATCAAGGGCGTTTCTGGGCATGTATACATTATTTCATAATATTTTAAAGTACTTTGCTATTTAGACAGACAAAATGGATTTGATTGTAGAAAAACATTCGAAAAAGAACCTAAGCAGCTGCTAGAAAAGTTACAAGCAAAAGTACTTGTTTACATGTGCATATCTGAAAGTTGGCACGGCTACTCACAATTAAAAACCATGGTACATAGAATTAATCAAGAAGTTTGTATTCAAAATAGTGAGTTCAAATAAAGATAAATTGTGCTCTGGATTCCAAACAATAGCATAAAACTTACCAGCTAAGAAAATATGCATATATGTTAAGTCTATGCAATATTTATTAGATGCCTATTTCTCCCAATAATTTGAGTAGAATAAACTAACGCGTTTAAATTTGACTCATCAAAGCAAAATTGGGTGAATACTGCAATATCAGACTTCGACGGCCTAACCCTCGATATCTCGCAGGTCCGCAATTTTAAATATCGCATTTACCCTAGACGACCCGACTAGTTGTTAAAATCACCGACTTGTATTGCAATGGAGAAGTCGTCTGAGCAACCATTTTATCAGCTTGTTCTTATACGTAATGGAGAGAGCGATTTCTCAAAAAATAACCTTTTCTGTGGATGGACAGATTCCGATATTTCATACAAGGGTGAATGCCAATCCAAGGATGCTGGCAAACTTTTAGTGAAAAGGGGTGTTGAATTTGATATTGCATTTACGAGCTTTCTGAGACGAGCTGTTAAAACTTGCCACCTAATATTAGAACAAATGGGACTCCTTTGGATTCCAATTCACAAGCAAGCAAGATTTGGTGTTTTTATATAATAAGTTACAATGCCATAGATCATGTCTAAGAACATTAAGCCTGATAGAAGTTTTCATTCTTTAGTGGTTATTGAAGAGTTTTATTCTTATTATGCAGTTTTAGGTAGTTGTAGACATTGTAAATACAATAAAAATACTGTATTATATGATAGACCAGTTCTCAAAATTTAAAAACAAATACATGCCTACGTTTTTTATTATACCGTTAAGGGATAAAAGTTGTGCAAGTATTTATCATGGCAACTGGACTACTCAAGAAATTAAGTTACAGCAGTACGAATTTTCTCATGATTTGACAAGAGTCATTAACTTGAATACCTACGATTGATAGCCACAGGAAAACGTCATTTTTATGTACTTTTTAGGTTTATTTGTTTTAGCGTTGTCTTACTAGTGTTAACAAAGGCATTCTTAGTTATTTTGCAGCTCAGCCATTAGTAGATTTGCTGACGTACAGATGCCATAGGACTTTATGAGTAGAAGGGTATCCTAGTCAAAGGTACATAGATTATTGTACGTTTTGGACGATTTGAAATTACATCACTCCGCACTTCAGTAGAACATTTGTGAGCTATAACGCGGTTGCGCTTATTTTTCAAAGCATTCATTCTATTCTCAAAACATGGCAGGATATAAGGGGTAGTAATCCAGTTATGTGAACCTCAATTCCCCTTTTCGTTCCTTTTCGTGCATTATGGAAAAGTACTATTATCCTAGATCATGGAGATTGAATGCGCGTATGTATGGTATGCTCCAGGGCTGTAATAAGTCTAAATTGGCTTTGCAACATGGAGACGACCAAGTTCGCATTTGGCGAAGAGAGTACAATGGTACGCCACCAGCCCTCAGTCGAGATGCGAAACAGCATCCTATTTTCGAATCAAAATACGCTGTACGTATGTTTATCCACCCATCCGAATCATCCTTGTTGGATGTTTAATTAAGTTAGTGAGTTGATTTACTGACAGCTTTAGACAAAGCACCAATGGTCTAGTTAATAAAACCTGGTGTTCTTTTGCAATGATAAAATTATTTGTACTATTTTGCGTTACGTAATACCTAAACTTATTATGAAGAAGACCGTTGATTTGTCTCGTAAATATACGGGAGTTTGAGCTATAAAATTACGGGATTTTAAGCATTTGAAGGGCAGGATCTCGCTTTTTTTTTCTGCTAATAGGTTTTCCCTTATAGCTTCTTGATGAAACGACTATTCCGGATACTGAATGCCTTCGCGATGCATATGAGCGCCTATTACCATTTTGGAATGATGAAATTGTACCAGCGATTAAGGTTTGCATATGCTATTAAAAACACAAAGCACGATGAGTGTTTTAGCAGTTTACTACCCTTCCGATACATAGGTCTAGTGTAGAATTGACCGCCATATTGTTTCGAGGTGTTAGAGACAAATAGCAGGCGACCAAAAATTGTTCGTGTGCTTCTTGCAACTTGACATAAAATTTCAAAATGCACATATTCGTCTGAATATATTTGTCATAAAACATAAACAAGAAGTAGTAGTCCGCTGATACTGTGCCCTTCACTGGGCTACCTGCTAGTTTTCTCGAATTTCAAATTAGCCTATTATCAGATGTTAGTAAACGAATCTGATGGGTGCGATTCGAGGTAGTCAGTTTCACAAACCGAGTCTAATCCTATAGTGAAGCTGCAGAAATTGTTAGCATAATGTGTAAACGAGTTGGAGATGCGGTATATGGTAATTAAACTCCTCGTCCAGAACCAAGTAGTTTAAATGGATGCCTTGACTCTGGTAATGAATCACTCTTGTCTAGTAGGTACATCGCGGTTAGAAATGATGTCCCGTAGAGTCTACTGTGATTGATTGTGGTAAAAAATTACCTTTCACCTACATCAATTTGGAGAGAAAGCGGTGGAAGGTACTCAGCAAATGGGTCGCATCCACGTACCATGCATTAACAGATGACAGACAACAGGTTTCGATGACCACCAATGCGTTCTTCATTTCTTCACTTCACTTCACTTTATAAAAAACACCGTTTTAAGATTGTTCACTGATTGACCAGTGATGAGAAACGATCTTTGCATTCCAACTTGGAGCAAACGAACACCTCATCTGTTGTCACCGAACGATTCACTCTCTGTGCCCACTGCACACAACGAAGGAACTGCTTCGTACCCCATGTGTGTGATGAACTGTCGACGCGATTGTTCACTGTGAATTTCCATTTTCTGACGATCAAACGGCAATTACGGCTGAAATATAGTTGGTTTAATGCAACCGCAACGCGTGTAATCAAGATTCTTCCTCCTTAAAAACAACCGCAAATGGAGATCTGGTGGAGAGAAGATGTCATTCTCAGTGTTGCAGGAGAATGCAAGACCCCGAACCCCAACATAATATACATCCAAATTCTTAACGTGAGAAATGCACTTTAGAATGGACGGAGACCGCTGCCCACATCCTCACCCTTCACATCGACCTGATGTTTCTCCATGTAGCTGTGATCTTTTTCTAGACGTAGACAGTCCCACGATAGGCAGCTGCGAAGTAAAAGTGGAACGGTAACGTATGAGACTAAGGCCAAATTTTCTCTGCTTGTAGAGGCAAAACACTTTTAGTGAAACTCACAAGCAATTTTCTCGTTGGGTAAGGCTGAGAGGTGTTAGGCAAGCTTTCTGCACTCATTCAATTTTGTTGTAAAAAACGCACGAACTTATTAGGCTGCCTTATCCTAGAACCACCACCTCATATGCACTACCTGAATACTTAATTAACGATGTATATCAGTAGCTCCTCAAAACTATGCATTACCTCTCAAACAGGAGTTTGTGTTCCATAAATCCTATGCAAGGAGTAAGTCCTCATGGCTGTTCGGAGTTAACCTCACTACTTTTCCCCTTACGCCATCAAGGAGGGCAATCGAGTTCTGGTTGTTGCACACGGAAGCACGCTTCGAGCCCTAATGAAGTTTCTCGACCACGTTCCCGACGAGGACATCGTTGACATTAATATCCCGCCGTGTAAGTCCGTTTTTCGTTATCTGTTCAAAGTATGTACAAGTCCAAGCGTGAAAGGTGAGTGCATCAAGGTGCAGCCCTTGACCTTGTATTTAGAACAACTGAGCATCTCACTGACAAATTCTTTTTACATTTAGCAACAGTAGACACTGGTTTGAGTCGAGGTACACCTAGAAAAGTGTCGATGATATTCACCCCTCCCCCTCCTCTAAATAGCATAGACCATATCATTTACTGGTCTACCAATTGATATGCTACTCTAGGTATCCCTTTGGTTTATGACTTCGACGAGCATATGACACCCATCCGACACTACTGCTTGAGGGACGATGAAGCTGTAGCAAGTGCCATTCAGACGGCCATTAACGAGACGAAGTTGGATCCGCACCCGTGTATTTAGCCCAACTCTCCGACTGCATAAACGCCACATGCATATTGTAACCCTGCAACCGGCTTTTGTAAAACGGCGATGGAGTGTGCTGCACCATAGTGCACACCTCTGATCCTCAATACACAAATAAGATTTTCAATGAAAAATGAACTGATGCCTTAAAGATTTGAAGATAAAGTAGGACGAAAACCGATCGCTGCCATGGGTGTTCAAATCTAACCGATACTTTTGGGGACACAGGCAAGTGCAGCTGCATTTGTATTCCCACATCATCTCCAACTGCATTAGCATGGACAAATTTGTCATTAGGTTGAAACATCCTAGAACGGCTTGCTTTCATCAGTGCGCTAACTTTTCGGTAATGTAAGTGTTTGGAACCGATTGCATTTACTGTGAAGTCCCAGTCTTATTTCCTGTGCGCGTTGGAAGTCCGCGGAGATGACTACCAACCCTGTGGGTTTGCAACCGACACAATCAAAATTGTCACCAGCGGACGTGCGATCATGGCTGAAGTGTTGACACCATTTAAATATCTAACTACTGAACGCCTGAGTCTCCCACCACTTGCTGTAGTCGAGCTGGCATCCACCTGCCCAATTCTTGCACCTTCGTCGACAAGAAGCCTCGCTTGTCATCATACGCCGCATACTCCATGTACACGCTGCTACTGCTGCTTCATGTTGATGAACGGTGCCTGAACCGGACTGGGCTACACACATTATGCGCACCAACCGGCAAAAGTATTAAGATGACATTGATATTGTGCACAGACCGGCATCACTACAGCAGCATTGTGTTTGGAACCTGCAAGGTAAAGTCCCCGTACCTGACTTTTCCTTATTGAGACATGCGCACCTGCACGGAGAGGGAGACCAGGTCTTAACAGCATCTGCTGCATTGACTCCAATTACGACTTGATATTTTTAATTAACCTTAGTGAAACAGGAGTGATAAACCACGAGGATAGGTTTTACAACCCTAAAGGTAGGAACGAACAAGACACCTCTTTTAGAAGACAGGACATTTAACTCCAGCTGGTCAGCACCTCCAACACCAAGAGAAAAATAAGAGGAATGGAATGATACAATGGCTTTTAATATTATGGAGATACGTAAGCATAGATATATTACAAATGCCAGTAGATTTGGGACCGTACTATTGAAGATACAATCGGGCCTTAGCAGAAAAATGACATTTTACAGGATACAACTAAGGCGCATCAAATGCTGTACACAATCACCACGCTCACATGCTCATGAATAGTTCAAATGAAAAAGAAACGCCTTAGAGAGGGGAGGAGAGGGATACCAATGCCTATTCAGAGGGGAAATTAAGTGCTGGGCGGATTCCCTTAAAATAAGGCAATCATCAATCAAGTGATTAAAAAAATGGGGTAACGGAGAAGACACTATTTTAGTGCCACCAACCCCAAACCCCTCGAGTCAGAGGTCTAACGAGAGCTGCTTCATGGACCGTGATGCATCGGCATGATGTAAGAGAGAAAGGCTAGACATTGCTTTCGTTCGCATCAACCTCCTCGAGCCAGGGATCCAAAGGGAGTTGCTTCTTAGACCGTGATGCATCGCCACGATGCGAGCACCGTTTGTGCTGGGAGATAAGGTTCAATTCAGTTGCTGGCAGACCCTGGGAGATGAAGAGGTCTGCGTAGTCCATGCCTGTCTCCAAGAAGAGATCCTATTTGCGATAAAACCTGAATTACGCAGTAATTCCACGTCGGCCTTCATCTTCTAGGCAGAACTATGCACACAAAGTAGTGGACACGCCAGAGACCGCCTACCTTCAAACAATAATCCTATTCAAGGTCGTTTTAAAGAAGCAAGCTAAAAAGTTAGATCAAGAACATGGCCTCAATCTAGCTTGAATGCAAAAAAAGGGTTCGTCAGTCCCTCTTCAACCAATTAGCTAAAAAGCACTGGAGCTATCTCACCTTTTCGTTGGCCAGATGGAGAAGACAGTTGAGTCCAATCGCGACACTCAGTTCACCAGCGGTCTGCTTCGAAACTTTGGCAGGCAGGGCAGTGAGGAGATCGCTGAAGGAAGATGACGATGACGGTGATGGCGGTGCAGACACTGCGTCAGCTTCTGTTGACGTTCGCGTCTTCTTGGCGGGAGGACTAAGTACTTCGGCAGCAGTAGTAAGGGAAGGAGTGGCCCCGAGATCGCTCTCAATCATGCTCCAGAGCACACTCTTTAAATGCCGCACGTTGATGAGTTTGGCAGAGCGCGCGTAGCCGATCTCAAGGCGAGCGATTTGACGCGGCGGCGCCACCAACTTTACACCATCCTCTCCCTCCAGTGGCATCATCGTGGGTGTGTTTTCGTTGAAACCTGTGGGACCCTGTAGGAGGTAAAAAAGTGGAGAGTGACACGAACGAACGGAAGGGGCCCCCTGGGAAGAGATAAACGAAACCCGATTAACCTGAGTGAAAATGCCGTCATAAGGAGCGACGTCATAGTCATCGTCATCGTTGGCTACCATGTCACCAACATCGGCGTCATCGTGCACTTCATCTTCGGCTGCGGCTGCAGCTGCCTGACTATCCAACCACGGTGGCTAAAGAAGTAAGTTTTGGTTAGAAAAATAAATCAAAACGATGGGTGATACGAGCCGAGCATTCAATAAACAAGAGAACAGACAACACAGGCATAAGCTGATCAGTTAGGAGTGGAAAATTGTTCCGGAAAACCTATAGCGATACTAAGCAAAGAAATAGCGACTAACGCTCCGGAATGAAAAAAACTGACATGTCCCTCCCTAGGAAGTACCTAAAATGGCGTGTCCAAAACAAGGCACTACAATCGAAAAATATTTCATTCAAACTATATGAATGGTACAATCACTGCTTGGACTGGCGTCAGCGGAATAAAAAACTTATTTGATTGCCGACCCGATGATAGCGACCTAGGCCTGAAGTTTAAAACTAAAAGACTGGGATTGCTTCTCTTAGTTGTATTAGCCCGGCATTGTGCAATCAAAAGGATGAGGCTATCGCCAATGACTACTTTTAGCACATCAAATAGGCGATATACTAACAGACTCTATGATCAAAAGTCAAACAATTCGATTTAAATGAACGGAAAAAAATCTTATCTATGGAACAGTTTTAGATAGACCGTACCAGCCAACTTAAGGCAGTCACTTGAAAAAGGAGATATAATCACCATTTATAACGAAGAGAACAGGTAGAAATGGCCTACTCTACAGAAATAAAACTAACGAGGCCAGTTTGAAAATGGCAACGACTCACCACAATACCGCCGTCAGCCATGGCATTAGCTGTTACATTTTCGTGCGTCTCGTTGGTCCTCTTGTCCACCAGATTGCGCATTACTTCGCGATTGAAGAGCTCGTAGATGTTCTGGCGCGCGTCGGCGATGGAGGGTGGCAGGAGATTGAAGCGCTCGCCCGCTAGACGCCGATTCTGTTCTCTCAGGACTGGAGACTTGCCACTCGCCTTGGTGTATATCTCCAGCTGTTTGGACCAATCGCCGCGCACTACGCATCCGCTCCTGTTGAAAAGAACAAACAGTTAGAGAGAATTTGACCCATCCTGAATAGACAATGATTTAACCGATTTCACGCAGCATTAATTTACGATACAGATTCTTATTTTCCCCATAAGTACTATAAGCTGTTAGAAAAAAATACTAATTATTCAAATGTTCTAGCTATTGGATGAGAATGAATGGAAACTTGATAAGAAATATGCTGAGTCAATTTAACGCCTGATTTACTTGCAATCGTCAATTCGTTTCACTCAAATCATTAAAATATAATGAAGAATTTACTAGCAATAGCTAGATTGTAAATGTAAACATTGGCTTGCTTTCGTAGACTTTGTAAAAACGGTTAAGGTTTTGAAGAAATTAGGCGATAAAAAGGGTTAAAATTTTAAGTAAGCAAGGCTAGCCACTTGAACAGCGTTGTTTTACAAAACTTGCATTAAAGTGCGATTCAAGTAATTTTTGTAAAACAAAAAACTGATTAGTCAGCAATTCAACCAAGTCTCTGCTTCGATGAAAATTGAGAGAAATTAAACAGCACTGTCATATCGCAGTACAATATCAAGTTACTTGAAAACCAGAAGGAAAGACGTACTTTGAACGGTTTTCACCGGTATCAAGGAGGACAGCTGCGTAATCCATGCTCGTCTTCTTAGTCTTCTTCACACACCTTGATCGAGCACTCTTGCCCACGGTCACATTCTCCTCGTTCTGCACCTGAGCTGCTACATCTCAAAGACGAATTAGATGAAAAACCATAAAGTAAGAAGTAGGTGACACAAATACCATAGTGAAAAGGTGAAGAAAGCACTTACTGCCAAACTCATCGAGCCGCCGTCGCTTGGCTTTCTTGCGCCAGTGTTCAGGGCCGGCCCACAATCCCAATATACCGTCATTTACCTGGCCAAAGTTCTCCAAATGCGTGGCTAGCATGGATTTGAGGCTAGAGACAAATAACTCTCCTTCCGCGGTCGGCTCTGCAGTATTCCTAGTAGAAGGGGGCAAGAGCAAATAGACTAGATTAGCTACGAGTCCTCCGCAGAGGGGCTCAAGGAGGGAAATGGCTCACTGATTTTCCACTGCGTCTATCACCTGGACACCACCCTTATTCCCAGATATGACGTTGCCCTCGTTCACCAGGGTTACCTCAAAGTCATCTGAAGATAATAAAATGGACCTGTTAATATAAACCTTTGGCACGCGAAGTTGAACCGGTCATCAGCCCCAAGGGAATAGCTACACATCGAGCATAACAATAGTTGTTACTGGAAATCACGAGATGAGAGCAAAATAAGTGACTATCACATAAATAAACTAGCACATGGAACATTCTTAAAAAAATTTCAGATATGAAGCGGTTTTTACTTATCAAAAGAGGTTATTGTGCAATATTCACACAAAGAGAACCAAAAGACCGTCCATTTTTGATCTTCTTAATTAGAGATTAATAAAGGTACCTCCATCAGTGTCAGGGATAGGGAAAGCAGTATTATCATCGTCGATGTCCATCTGTGGAGGAGAGGCCAGAGGAATGGGGGTTGTGGTGACTGAATCGTATGCCTCTTGTACAAACAGAGGACTGAGAGGAGCTATATGAGCCTGCACGAAGATAGAAATTGAAAATAGTTTGTGAATAATTTAAAAAGATGAAATACACAAATGTGATCTACGGGTAATCAGTAAATGGACAATCACAAGAGCCTGCGATACTATATTTGGAAGCTGGTCTATTAGTGTCACCAACGGAAGAGTGAAGTACAATATTCATAATAATTTACCACATATTTATGCAAGATGAACAAAAACTTACCCTAGTTTCATCATTGAGCTTGTTGAAGTGGAAATCATCAAATGCTAAACAAAGAGGTGCCTCTAGAGTGTGGGAATCAAAGATGGGGTACAAGTCGACGGGTTGGGTACAGCAGGTAAGGGAACCAGCCTCTTCTCGAAGATTGAAGAGTGGTGTACCGGAGTCCTGCAGCAGCTCACTAAACTTAGAGTACGTTCTCAGACGATTCAGTCGGAGCTCTACTATGCCACCGTCATCGTAGGCTGCTGCCTGTTGCTGAAACAACGGGTCCACCTTAAAAAGAGATGAAGACACTCACTGATTTAAGCTATAATTTCCGCGTATAGTTGAAATAGAGAGCAATCATCCAAAGACCATATCCTTAAAAGCGACTACATTGCGTGAATACAGAACACTCACATCAGCCTCAAAAGGCTTAATCCTGGAGCGGATTTTACTCAATGCGGTGACGATAACGGGTTTGATATTCGGAGCACGTTTCCGTTCCCTCCGCTTACGATCGTTGACCGCGACACCGCCACCGAGTTCGTCAACTGAGTCGTTCACGCCGTCGAGTGCTCGTGGGTCATTGCCATCGCCGTCGGTACCTGTCTTCGTCGTTTTAGAATCAGAACGTCCAAGGCCCGTGAGCACTTTGTAGGTCTCCTGATGCACAGCATCAACGCGACCTGCGTAGATCTTTGCGCTCGCGTCCAGAGACGAGCTAGCCATCTAGAAGACAAGAAATCATAGTAATAAAGTGAGAGAGTGAACAGAGAAGTAACTGATGTTTCCAAGTCGCATCATACCCGGAAGCTTGTGAAATCCTCCTTCTTAATCATTTCACCCATGAAGTCGATGAGATGGAGATCAAAGGCATTTTTGTAAGTTATTTTATTCTCGGCCGCCAAACGAATGCAATTTCCGTAGTGTTCGCCAACCTGAGCCCGGGGCAAAAATTGGGTGGCAGCAGCACGACGAGCTGCATCATGTGCCGGACTGTTGACAACCTCAGGATGCGGTTCCAACAGACGTGACCGACGGCGAGCAATACGCTCTACGTCGTCATTGTTTTCTGCATAGCGAAAAGTAAAACAAAAAAGTGTACTGCGATAAGAGTCAGAATGTGTTATAACCCCAAAACATTCACACCTAGCCTATGAACTGCACTGTCAGATTCCCTATGTTTTGCCGTCTTGTTTTTACAGTTGTTAACACGCATCCGCGTTCCAAAAATCTTCAAGAATATTGGGTTTTAAAACCAGAAAACCAAATTAGTAAAGATAAATCATGTAAAATAATAGGCTCCGCAAGGGAAATAACGCTATGCACCAAATATACATAACATTGTACCCTCACATTAGCAGAATGTCACAATTCAATTTATTCGACTGCAAAACTACATAAAAAAACACCAAATTAAGGACCCACTTGCAAAATGCTAAACAAAACAGGTGTCAAGCTTACGCTCATCGAAGTCCAGTGAGATGTCATCTAGATTGGTTACACGACGCGAGACTTTGTCATAGCCACCACGTTTACATCCGACACTATCAGTGAAGGTGACAGTGTTGCCCGCAAGAGGAGCATCGGCCCCTCTATCAGCAACAAGCATAATCAGTCAAAATAACCACAAAGGCACACCTGCGATTTTCAAATCAAAACAAGACCGTAACTACGAGCACAGTGAAACACGCATAAAATATTTGTAAGTTCATACCATATTATGCCGCATCATTTGTTAAAATGCATAAATTTAAAACAGAAAAATTTTTAAACTATTTATTTTATCGCGATTTGCTAATTTTGCAATATTTTACACTGCATCTTAATTATGGCCTCAATGCACGATTGTAGCATTTTAAGACAAAATCGATCTGCAAAAAGAGATTCAGATTGTAAAACGTAACTGTTTGTGATGGTTCAGTTAGAGCTTTTGCAAAATTTCATTACAGTTATGCACTTCTTTTCAAACCGTAATCAAAATAACAAATGGTATACTTTTGATACTTAGCCCGATTTTGATCTTTTTAAATGTACTACGCATTTCAAAGTGCTAGTAGTGAAGTTGCATGACGTAGTGGCTTTATTCCGACAGCAATGAAGATTAAGTCAAGTACTTTACATTCTGGCCTGTCATATCCACTCAAGCGCGGCATTCTCACGTAAGCACTAACTACGATAAATTAACTCCAATTCATGAAATTCATCAGCACCTCTTAATTTCCCTTTCCTAGGTTAGACTACCACTAATTTAGTGATGCATTCAAATGTAGGATGAATATGAATGTTCGTGCCCAGGCCTTGAGCTGAAAGACTAATATATTTTTGGACAGTTTAGCACACGTTCACCGAGTGCTGATTAGCACGATATATCGTCTTTCCAAGTCCTCACTTGGCATCCTATTTCCTCAATTCTTCTTGTAGTATAAGTGGTGCTACTTACTGTCCGTCACGAAAATCTTCCCCCAAACAATCGCATACGGACTCAGTTAACCCTTGCATTCGTTGAGCTGACTGAGTGGTCAGCTAGTTTCATCAAATCATCTTCATCTCCTCCTATCATTATATCCTTACAATCCTTGTAAGGACAACGTTCATTGTGCTTGTTTATGGCGTTTCGGTCGGCTGTCAAGAGCGGTCAGTTATGTGGTCTGTACAGTGTGTTATTTAATACGAACCTCAAACGGACGCATCTGCGCTGTAGAAGGGCTGCAAATCCTGGATGCATTTCCTCTTCAAAAATAGCTGAGAGGTCAAAAAACACATTTCATTCAGATAGGTGATCATGTTTAAACATGCTTTGCGGCCAGTTTGGCTTTTCATGTGGTCATGAGAATGCGGTCACAAATTCCTTCGTATTTCACATTTCGCTGCCTTTGGATACTTTCTAGTTCAGCATTATCAGATTTGGTTCCTTTAATTTAATCACCTAAATGTAGCATTGAATTTCATAACTTTCGGAATAATGGCCTTCAAACGCACATTGATCAGTGAAAAGGGCAAGCTCCAGCACATCACAGCAAAACTATTTTGTCATGCGGCTCAATTATCTGGATGTGACATAAACTACTGTGATTTTTCAGTCTCTTTAATGTCAGTGCTAAGTGGCGGATGCTGACTGCATTTCAAGCAATAATTTCTCACAAAGCATGCTACAAGCAATGTATTGCATCAATAACGAAAGTGGATTGCCTATTTTGAGTGGTGGTAGATCGGTGCTGGTCAAGTAGGATCCACACGGACCGAATAGAGCTTACGTGCAGAACACATGAGACGAAAATTAAAACAAGATAAGTTAGAAGTTGTGATGTGGAAAAAAATTATCTACTTCCCAGTTTCTGCAAGGTAATTAGAATGAAGTGTTGCTGTAGTGCTCTGATACTTCCCAAAAGACGAGAGAAGACATAATACTCGGGCAGAATACATAGTACTGACGTGCAGAAGGGCTTGCGCACTACTGGCACGAACCGAAGCCCAGACTCCCTGAAGGCGTTACAATGGTGGAGCTCCTAAGTGACCCATTACCAGATCCGACTGTTAAATAAACGCCTAAAGCATCGATCGAAATTCGTCTTGAAAGGGGGAAAAGTGCACTCATTTTTACCTTTTAAATGTCCATATAGTGTCGGTGTAGGACAGAATTTTGAGTTAAGTAGAAACACCACATCTGCGTGATATTTATGGTATCGTGAGGATATGTGAAGCTTGTGTGAGTCCACAGATTCAAGGAAAAGGCGAACAAACAATACCGCAGGAGTGCTATTCCGCCTGTCGCCCTTAGTCTCATTTCTCATTGGACTATTTCAGTCAACAATCGCGTAAGTTTTCCTGATCGAAAATCTTTCTCTCAGAGGCGAACCCATAGTTATACGCAAAAAATATAGCAAAGGAAAGCTTTAGTGGTTCCTTATGTGAAAATTGTCCCAACAATGTGTTCCCTTTATGCTTCTCTGAATAGTGAAAATGGAGGATACGAAAATGTAATAATACTGCTTTGACTAAAGTAAACTACAACCACATTCTGATGCTCAGACGTCAGCAACACGCTGAGAATAATTTTAGGGTAAATAGTCTAGGTGTCATAAAATGCCAAACAGACAAGCATGAATGACATAAGCAGTCAAGATATTAAGCATTATCCACGCTGTGAAATTCAGATGAACTACTGCATTATACCTTTCAGTTTTGCAGTTTGATATTTTTTCAAACTCAACCACATTTATATCAGTTGGAGCAGCGAAATTCTACCGAAATCATAGGATTTTCTGTGGGAAAACAATCCATGCTACACTTCTATTCTTTGCTTCAACATTTTTTCCTTCTATCAACAGACACTGTGATTAGGAGACACGGCTCACCTAACATACCACTTATCATGCATGGGAGTGACTATTCACTGATGCTCTGACAACTGCTGTAAAATCCATTACCACGACTACATATGAGAGATGCTAGTGGTGTATGATTACGGCGTTACAGCGTCCCTTGAGTCTCAAGGAGACTTAGCACCATTTTGGTGGCAGAAACCATGGTAGTTTGTAAGCAAGCCCCCTAGTAATAACGTAAAAGACAGCTTAAGTCAATGCTTTCAACTTTTTTTAGCTAGCAGTGGTGTCAAGTACTGTTGGCTGACCACCACGATGAAAGGTGGTGGAGTTATGCATCTAATCTGCATGTGAGGCAAGGAAGTGGTTTTATAAAGAATGAGTATTTGTTAAGTCCTAGAGTCGCTCATTTGGTAAGGCTGAAAGGCACAACATGTTGGTTCCGATTTTCCACTTACACCAACACCTTTACCGAGAGGAATGGAGGATGCAAAATTGGCCACGCAAACCTAGTGGAGTGGAATGCTTGTGTAAAGACGGTTTTAGGGGCTAGTTGGAAGCCACTGCTCCATGTATTAGCTATCAGGGACGGCTGAAAACGCGGCCATGAGGTGAAACACGTTACAACCAGTTTAGGCTACGTACTTTATAAAAATGATGTTTTCTACCCTGAATAATGCAATGGCTCATCATCATGTGAATTAGGCTCATTCAGGGAGTATCAACACGGTTTGGGTTGGTAATTTGGGGTCACATTGGTCTGTCGCAAATTTAACTGGTGAAAAACTCGATTTGCTGATCATTAAAAGCACGCAATTCTTCTCAACATTGATATATTCTTCCTTGCAGAGCCCGGATGCTCTTTCCTGAAGGAACAGACGATGCTGTGGGGGCTCCCCTCGCATACTTGTCGCGGCTAGCGATGGTGTTGAAAGTCAAACTTAGGCCAGATTTTCAACCCCGTTTTGTGGTGGAAACTGGGTGTAAACTTTGGGTTTAAACCGGCGCTCTTCGTAAATATTTGTTCCTGAATATTTAACATGCCCTACACTGTAACGAGGTGAGGCAGAAACCTCAGTCGAAAGTATTTTGAAAACTACTCTTTTCTCAGGCCAATTACTCCTAAGGCCCACAAAGGAATGTTGACAGGAACTGTTTTCACAGAATAATTTACAAAACTTGGCGTGTTCCAACTCTTAACCATCAATTACCGTCAGTTCGACGAGAATGATCCCCAAGCACTGTCTGAACAGCCGAAGAAAGGGTGCTGTATACAATAGGCCGTTCTTGGAGACTTCTGTTTACGTAGGCAAATTTTGTACCATTTATAAAGTCCGTGAAAGTGTATTTGAAAACCCGGACTCCAAAACCCCCACCAAGCACAATGAGGTCCCCTAGAAATGTGCTCTCAGACTTAACCCTATCAGGAAGAACATTTGGGTATTAAGGAACTACTTTGCTAGTCCCTAAAACGCTAACTCGGGATCAAAAGACAATTATGCTGAAAATTCAAATTGCAATGAACCTTAGACGGGTAAGAACGCGAGTACAGAAATACATTCCACGTCAATGAAAACACAGAATATGTTCAAGGATTTTGCTCCCCTAAACCACTAAAAGTAGCTGAAATATAGGATACTAGTGAACTACACGTATGCATTTCGACATGAAACGACTTCACAAAACCAAAAGGTAAGGTTTATTCAGGCCAAAATTTATTAAAGAAGTAAAAGAATGCAAACTACGAGTTGAGATAATGCAGCACCAAAAGAAGTAAGGGAAATACGGGAGTGCATAGAAATATTCGAAGGACTACTTCTTTACCCCGCCAAGCGATGACACTCATGTTGTAACTAAAAATACCAAATTGAGATGAAAGAGAGACACTCACCTCTTCCACTTCAGGGTCCTGTGCATGAAGTTTGATAGCTTTTTGTGCCCATTCCTTGGCTTTCTCCTTGTTCTTTAATCGGTCATAGCACTGGGCAATCCGACACACCGTATATGGACGACCAGGAAGAGCTGGTATTGAGCTTGTAAATGGGGATGTATTTTACCTTTTTCAGCATCTAGATAGAACTTCAAAGCTTCTTCAAAGGAGGATTCCGGTGGCTTTCCAAAGAATGTTGATGCAAAAGCTCTTTCAACCTTGCCTAAAGATGCCACCTCAAAGCACCTATATAGTGAATACAACCACCGAATTACATACCATGATCCTAGACAGTGAAGTGTCATGAAGTCATTCGGATTGGCTTCATAGCCTTTCTGTAAATGCATGTTTAGGCCCAAGGAACACAAACTTACGTCGAAATATTCTCGAATCTCGTAACCAAGTTTGATTTTGTTTTTGATGCCTTCGTCTTGTGACTTGACATTTAGCATTATGCCATACCACTAGGGGTGTCAAACTTCAGAACGGACTTACTGTATTACTAAGACATGCTGTTGGAAATCTTTCCACAGCGGTCTTCATTACATCTAAGCCTTCTGTGATCCATTCCTGTTTGGCTTTTTTGTCCTTTGGGCCATTATTCAAAACTATTAACCTCAATTAAAAAAGCTGCTTCCACTCTCACCCAAGAAACGACATGCTCGAGCCAATCGCCACATAAGTTCCAAGTCCATGTCGTTGTAATTGCCATCAGGCTTTTTTAGCTTATCGTAAACCTCTCGGAACTTGTCTTGTTCATTAAGGGCGTCAATCTCCGCAATGAGTTGGGCAGACATTGTCGAAATATAGGTAATGTGATTCTAAAAAGTCACAAACTAAACGAAGTCAATAAATGCAAATTGATCCAGGATTATAGCACAGGTAAAGCAGCCTTATCGTAATCCATGCAAATATTTCGATCAGAAAATCAATGGAGGTGCATGCTAAAAGCATCGATCTAACCTGCACAAAACAACCAAAATAAAAAACAACCTCGCGAGGTGTGCGCAGAATAGACGAAAGTAACACCTTAAAAAGGGGACGAGGCCAAAGACCCTATAGTGATGGGATTAAACAAACCATAAAGTCGTTTAAACTTGTTTGCAAAATGTAGCAGTTTCTAACAGACGTGTGCCAATGTTTTAACGAAACTTATGTGCTTACTTTTACAAGGGTGGGTAGGCCACGAAAAATAGTTCAAAATCATGCATAACTTACTTATCTTTCGAGAGCTTAATTTAACAGATGGTGCAATGAGTATGTGGTACCTAATTTTCGTGCGTAGGCAATTTGATCTCACAAGCATTTCAGGAAAACATTCCCCAATGTCTGCCAAAATTCAACTTCAAATGCACATGAGATGAAATAAGATGAAGTTACAAATTATTTGAGGTATCAGGCAGAACCCGAATTCTTATCGGCCTTGCTCTTTTAGAATGATTTGTGGCATTTAGATTTAATATCAGATGCCCATCAGGTTTGCGTTATTTTGTATTTAATTATGTAGTGAGCAATTTTTGGTCAAATTTTATTTCAAGAGTTTTAATTTCAAATATCCTCGGTGATAAGGTTATTTGAATTTTACTCTATCTTATATTTATGTGCATTTCTCAGGGACGTGTTCTCAACTTACATGCATAAAATAGGAAACTGTGAACGAATTTTTCTTTTGCGTACCAATTTTGGTGATGGCGAGTGGAAATGCAATGCCTTTTTACCGTTCAAGATCGGACAATGCCTCAAAACCAGGACACCTCGTATGCTGATCACTGATGATAAAAAAATTGGATTAGACCCAGAGTCGCTCAGAAATGGCAAAGATTTATTTTTTTCCATCTCTCTCTTATTGTGATACTTTTCCACTTTCATTGCTGCCTAGTCACCTACCTGGGTTCCATTTAATTAGAAGAGAAGTGGGGGAAGTATTGCTTGTTAACCTAGTTGACATCGTCCAAAGGTGCCACCAACTCCTTCATAACGGGCTGCTAGGGGCTGTACAAGTCTGATGTCGCTCCCTCGTTAATAGCATTCTTGCAGACCACCAGATTAGGATAGTTATCAAAGCAAGTCCCCTTTCTTAGTTTTTCGCTGGCGTTCTTCACAGATTTGCCCATTTAATGCAAATGTACTCATTCCATGACGTTACGATTTAGCAATAATTAGAAGGAATCACGATAGTTATGCTATTGGCTCGGGTTTTGCTTTTTGTTGCCACAAATGTAGCACTTCGAGCCTTTGCTGACGTTGTTGTAACCCAAAAGCGGAATGAAGGAACACACATCGCTAACGCATAGAAGAGGCAAAAGGTTACTAGCATGATCCTAAGGGCATGCAGTTTGGTAGAAGTACATTTAGGACCCTTTATTGTAGCTCCCTAAGACTTTCCTGAAGTCGGAAGGAGGTATAGTAGTCAAGCACAATATGTATTGTATACGTATAGAAGGGCTTGAGGGTCGCTGGCATAACCGCCCATCAGAAATGAAGTGGCGGAGATCCTACGTAGTTTGTTACTAAAACCGTCATTTAGAGGATCAAAAGGTCCCTCACCACTTTGGAATGTCGCACTCGGCGCTCCCCTTTGTCAGACCCCCGCATCAATCATCACAATGTAATTAGTGCTGGAGGAAGACCACCAGCTGGTAAACCATCCTATTCATCGAATTTGTGTGCAAAGGTGGTATCTACCTGCAATGTCACTGAATCTTCTTGCTAATTCTTCTGGATCTGCAGTTGCGTTTAGTTTAGAAACTACAATGGGGGCAAAAGTATGTGCTAGTCTTCACGTATGTTCGCCACTAATCGAAGGGATACTGGCCCAAGATCATTGTCTTTTAACAAAGGAATGGGGAGGATAATTCGCGTTTGTTCCTCTTTGCTGCTTTGTTTGCGCCTCATCGCTGCCCAACCATATCTATCTGGGGTCTATCCAGCTAATGGAGAAATGGAGGAAATATCACGAGTTCGCATAATTGACGTCTTTATACAGGTACCGTAGACAGCTCCGTAACGAACTTTCAGGTGGTTCGTAGCTTATGCCGCTCTCTTTGTTGGTAGTATTCCTGTAGAATGTGAGGCTGGGGTAGTTACCGAAGGCCGATGTCATTTTCTGTACCTCTATTAGGGCTTGTCAAGACAAGGTCTAGGATTCAGTTATAGAAATCAGAGTAGTTGACCTCCAGGACCGGATTCGCTTTCCACTGCCGCCAATGCAGGGCTCGGTTTCTCCGAAATTTCCAAAGAAGCCATAATGCTTCTGCAGAATATGTATTTTTGATGTACAGTAGGGCTTGGTTCTAATGGCCTAGTCTAATGTTAAGGCCGCCCAGCGGAGACCTAAGTTGCCCTTTACCAAAACCGAGAGTTTAACAATTAACGTATTACTTTAGTGAAAATATGTGACTCAAGTTGTCGCCCTGCGTAATTATTCATTAAATATACTTCTGCCTTTGCCTCCATTTCTTGGCTTGATTTTACACCACATAGTGCGATGGCCCAAAGTACTTTCTAACTTTTCTTTCTGTCAACTTTAACAATAGCTTTCATTGGGCACTTTTCCCACTTCCCAAGTTAATATCATCACTTGTTCTCTTACAAGGTAAGAGGTGGTGGCATTGTCCAGGTTCTTTGAATGGACTTAATCCTTAAATGGCCTCGAAAACCATCGACCTCCTCCCAATGATACTAGTAAAATCCAGGACCCCAGAGTATTTGGAACGACAAGGGTAGAGGAGTTATTTGGCGTTGTTCAGGGGTTATTTTATATTTACGTGTGAAATTTTGATAGTATTAACAAGTATTCACAAGGTAAGGTTAGAATGACTTAAAGAAATTAATGAGATTGTTGAAAATGACTCTAGTGGAATATCCAGATGACGTTTAAACTGATGTGGTAGGAAGCAATCACCTCTACCAAATTTAATGGTCGGATGCAATTTGAACAGTGTATTCTCAAGAACTAGAAATAAGACCTGAAATACAGCAAATCTGTACTATCCGGAGGTACTCTGGCGGTTGCTTAGTTTGTTGTGTTTCTTCATGCATTAAGATGGAAGGGCTCTGCTGCACCAACAGTTTAGATCTCTCTCTCCATTTTAATGATGACTTGACAGGTGATCTACCATCTTGAGTGTTAGGATAATAAGGGTGGTAGAAGATGGCAAACTTTGTGACATCTGCAATTTTTGGAATGAAGGAGGATACTACTTAAGTGCAAGACTCAACGAAATGATCAATAAATTTTGCAGTTCCAACGTATATTTTACCAACAGACTATTGTGAGCCCAGAAAAATTAAAATCCATTTTCTTGCATGGCAATTCTATTTTTTATAATGTAGGAATTTTTATTTAGTTGAGTAGTCTAAGGAGTGTGAACGAGTGGAGCGAGCCAATATCAGTAGTATGATATGGGCACAAAAAGGAAACGCAGGATGTAGACTCAAGTGAGACATTTCTATGGTAAGAAGTTAACGCTAATGGCTAAGAATAATGCACGCTTAGAAACAAAGCTTCTTCTTCCAAAATAGTCACAACTCTAACAATCATCAACTATGAGCATTCCCTTATCACTAAATGTGTTTGTTAAATGGAGGCTCGAAATGAAGTGAAGAAGTCGGATTTTTGATGAGACATTCATTTCTCAACAAGAGACCGTTAACTTCATTAAGCCATTATCTTCTTAACTCGTTTATCTGCCGACACCTCAATGAGTTCTCTCATTCTGTTATATTCGAAGCACTCAAGTGAGGCGAAGACAAGTAGAAAACTAAATGTACTCAGGTGGAGTGATCGGATGAATATCTGCCTGAATGCACAAGGTAGCACTCCAGTGCTGCGACATGTCTCAGCTCGCTCACAGCGGTAGAAGGGGCATGACAACATGAAGGCTCGCATTTCACGGAGAAATGTAGGCGAATCCTACACAACGTGTACTGACAACAGAACGGATGCTGATCACTTCTGTCTAATTTTTTGCAGAAGCAGTCTGTAATGCCAATCCCTGCCTTGTTTCGGTCACTAGTCAAGTTAGTGATCGCTCACAGTGCAATCACTAATTAAAATCACACCAGGATGAAATGATGCCGGAACGTGTGCACCTCGATGGACTGATCTGGTGCTTCTACCATTACGTTGCCGCTAATGTGAAGTACTCGAGACTTGCCTTTGTGCCTTTACTCTTATCGCTTTCAGCGGCATGCCACGCAAGTACATGACCACAAATTTACTCGTTTTTATTTCTTTACCCTGCACAAAGCACGCTTTCATTAGACCTTTCTATCAGATTGTACAACAATAAGGTGGAACTGCTGTCAATCCCCTCCATATCTACGGGTGATAAAAGCCGATGGAACTCAGCTACAGTGTTTCACATGAAGAAATGACTTTCGTGAGATATTTTGCATTCATTGCCTTAATTTGATAAAATCAGTTCTCCTGAGGAATATATGCTAGGTAATAAGCAGGACTGAAGAACGACGTTACTGATTTAAGTAGCGCCTTCTGTATCAGTAATCTGTAACATCTGTAGTCATTGCTTTGTAAATATCTTAGTTTTACATACCCTTAACATGGTCTGAGTTCTTACTTTTCTTTAATACATACGGAATCAAACGGAGTCGAAAACCCAGAATAGATCTTGCCCTTAAAGCGGTAATAAGTAGTATATAATATTTACCTAAAGGGCGCCTCAAATGATTGTAATTAATAAGTAGTAAGAGCACAACACTGCGGTTAAAATAGCTAGAAATCATTGTCAGTCGAGCAAAACGATTTGGTTTTCTATACCAACCTAAAAGGTAGAGTTTATGTAACTTTGGTAATTGGATAACCAAACAAGTAGAAAGGCCTGCAACAGAAAGTTCGAACTTAGAATCTGCTCGGACGGTTAGAAGTAGGAAGCCAAAGATGACCCTAAGGATTCACTGTATTAGGCATTACTCAAGGCAAATCATGTAACGCAGTTTGTGTGTAGGCCTGATGGTTATCAAAACACCACCTCCACACTAAACTTATTGTTATATAATTTTGTAAGATGCTTGAATGCCTTAGGATAGTGGCAAACTGCTCACTTGCGTTTTCTTCCATAAAATTATAATGGCTATGACAGGTGCTGCCTTAGTGCTTATTGTAAGTACATGGAATGATTAAAAGACCTCAAACATTACCGAAAGACCAGACTGCGAAGATCAAATAGTGGTACAACAAACATCAAATCAAAATCGCTACCGTTCAGCCGCTGATTTACTGGTGGGCAAGGTCTTGATAAAAATCCCATTATCGCCATATCCGGAAACAAATTTCTAACAGTGCAGCTGGTCCACATAATTAATTTTTTTCTTCCACAAATGAAGGACACAATTCGAACCTGGTGACAGGGTCGGCGTCTCCCAAGCCTGAGAGGGGTTGCGGAATTTCCCCTCTCTAAATCTTGTACTTGTTTTCCCGATCCACTTCCCTCTAATAAATGTGTTGAAATCAAATCAACCTGGTTATACTAAGAGTATAAGGAAGAGGGATGAAAAGACCTACGAGCCTTGCCCTACAACACCCTAAGTATCGATACTGTCAAATAGGAATCACTGGCCGAATCAGTTTAATTCCAGCCATAGAGCACACAGTACAAAGTACGACATGCACAAATGCACAAGCAAACAAGCTTTACGAAACTGTTGTAATAGGACACTGTTAGTGCGACAGACTTTAGCATAGAGTCGATTTGAAAATTGTTTCTGCACTAATTCGCCAGGTATGATGTTAAATTCGGTTAGATTTCGTGCTAGAGTCAACACTTTGTGCGCTTTTATGATAAATGGTGACCATCGTTCTCTTTATCCTCAATCTTCCATTTAATACGCTTTATCATTGAAGGTGATTGTTTTATTTAAATTAACTTATCACAAAGTGGCAAACCGACCTGGAACGCACTTACAAATGCAGCTCTCGCTCGACTACTGCATCGTCTGATTAGCAGTATTGTTTGATTTTAATTCTTTTTTTCTTCACCTTTTAGCACTAATGATTATTTAATTTACTAATTTTTCTACTATCGACTCACGAGCGTTTTACGGTAGTAAGATCTTGTTTTATTCGTGAAAGCCTGTTTTTTGCAAGCTTGATCAATCATTGATTAAAAACCGGCGAATTCGCCAAGAAAAACTGGAGGAAACCAGGGAATCAGTGGCATAATTGGAAAAACTCGACGGTACTTACAATGGCCTGAATTTGGAGGTTAATTGATATTCCACAGAGGTGATTTGACTTTCAAGTACCATATATTAAAGTAATTTGGCGAAAAAAATTGTCAACTTATGATAAAAGTTAAGTTCAGGTTCTAAAAGGGACAAAACTGCTGCGGAAAAACATTTGGGTGACTGCTGCCTCAATGTAGCTGAGCTTCGTTAGGTATTATTTTCTTTTGGTGGTGCGCTGTAATGTTACCAATGGAGCGTCAAATCGCTGGAAGTTACAATACAGAATTGAAAAGTCCTGTCCAGTTTAGCAGGGCTTTGCCGTACGCTTGCTTTGTCCTATTAGATTAGGTGGGGTATGCAGGAGGGGGTGCTCAATTTACCCCATTGTGCTCTACTTTCCTGTGTTCATATTTTGTCTACTTTCTTTAAATGGTAATCCAGATGACGCCTTTTGCAAAACCATTGGTATTTTTTCATGTAAAGGCTCTTAAATGTTTCGCAAAAACTGATAAAGGTGAACTTTTATACCCCTGCATTCTCACCCTGTCATCTAACGTCCCATTCTACGTCGAGCCGAATTGCGAAATGGCATTGTAGAGTGGAAAAAGGTAAAAGTGCTATACGTTATTAGAGAATATTCTATTTAGTGCAAAATGAGTGTTAAAATTTTTGAAAATGCTATTTTCTTGAATACCACGACATTTCCCTGTTTATTTTAATTATTTTTAGCCATCTTTCTTTATAATCTTACGCTTTAACCTTATGCGATTGTGGTTGGCGTTGGTCCAAAGTAAGAACTTGTAGAAGCACCGGGACTTCTGCCAACACTATAGCTGCGTTTCTAAAAAGTGGTAGGAGTTATGCAAAGCACAGTTTGCTTTCCCCAACTTTTGGAAGCACATTCGAGGGGATCAAAGCATGAATCCGTTGAGCAATAATGCTAAACAAAAGTGGATAACAAAGCGTATAATACAAATTTGTGATTACTACATTAGGAAAGAACACCATGGTTACACGCAACATTTAGCACATTAGTGTAGCGTCCCGAGACTCCCTGAAGACGAAAGAAGACAAAATACTCGGGCAGAATATATATATTCAGCATGGAGAAGGTGTCTGGGC